TGACTAATCTCATTATGTCGGTCTGGGGCTCCGCGCATACATGTCTGAACCTCAATTATGTTGTGATCTGAGTATATTGTTTTTGATATGGTGACATTTCTTATCAGATCATCATTGTTAGTGAAGATGAGGTCTAGTGTATTCTCCAGTCTAGTAGGCTCTATTATTTGCTGGTTTAAATTGAATTTTGTGCAGAGATTTAAAAGCTCGTGTGAGTGTGAGTTTTCATCAGAGCTGCCTCCTGGTGTTATTACTGCAACAATATTATTTGCTATATTCCTCCATTTTAGGTGCCTTAAGTTGAAATCCCCCAGGAGCAAGATGTTGGGTGCAGGAGCTGGAAGATTTTCCAGACAATGGTCAATTTTTAACAGCTGTTCCTGGAATTGCTGGGATGTTGCATCCGGAGGCTTGTAGACTACCACAATGACTAGGTTTTGGTTCTCAATCTTTACTGCTAAAACTTCCACTACATCATTTGAGGCATTAAGCAGTTCGGTGCAAACAAGTGACTCTGCAATGTACAGGCCAACCCTCCCCTTTTGCCTGTTCACTCTGTCACATCTGTATATGTTGTAACCTGGGATCCATATTTCGTTGTCCAAGTGATCCTTTATGTGGGTCTCAGTGAAAGCCGCGAACATTGCTTTTGCCTCTGCAAGCAGTCCATGGATGAAAGGTATTTTGTTGTTTGTTGCTGGCTTTAGACCCTGTATATTTGCAAAGAAGAATGTCATCGGACTGGTGGTATTGTTGGTACTGGTACAAACTTCTGCCCCACATTCTAATACTGCATTTTTAAAGCTATTCCAACCCTCTTCAACCCCCCCCAATACTCATACTTGCACCAGTCCACCTTTCTGCCAATAGTTGCTTATATCTCACCCGAACTTCCTCCTCCCTTAGTTTATACACTTTCACCTCCCTCTTGCTTGTTGTTGCCATTTTCCTGTTTTCCCATCTACCTCTTACTCTAACTGTAGCTACAACTAAATAATGATCCGATATATCAGCTGCCCTCTATAAACGTGTACATCCTGGAGCCTACCCATCAACCTTTTATTCACCAATTCATAATCTAACAAACTTTCATTATGTGCTATATCATACCTTGTATATTTATTTATCCTGTTCTTCATAAAATATGTATTACTTATTACCAAACCTCTTTCTACACATAGCTCAATTAAAGGCTCCCCATTTTCATTTACCCCTGGCATCCCAAATTTAGCTACTACTCCCTCCACAACATTTTTGCCCACTTTAGCATTGAACTCCCCAACCACCATTACTCTCACACTTGGTTCAAAACTCCCCATGCATTCACTCAACATTTCCCAAAATCTCTCTCTCTCTCCTCTACACTTCTCTCTTCTCCAGGTGCATATACACTTACTATAACCCACTTTTCACATCCAACCTTTATTTTACTCCACATAATCCTTGAATTAATACATTTATAGTCCCTCTTTTCCTGCCATAGCTTATCCTTCAACATTATTGCTACTCCTTCTTTAGCTCTAACTCTATTTGAAACCCCTGACCTAATCCCATTTATTCCTCTCCACTGAAACTCTCCCACCCCCTTCATCTTTGTTTCACTTAAAGCCAGGACATCCAGCTTCTTCTCATTCATAACATCCACAATCATCTCTTTCTTATCATTTGCACAACATCCACGCACATTCAGACTTCCCACTTTGACAATTTTCTTCTCTTATTCTTTTTAGTAATTATTACAGGAAAAGGAGTTACTAGCCCATTGTTCCCGGCATTTTAGTTGACTTTTACAACACGCATGGCTTATGGAGGAAAGATTCTTATTCCACTTCCCCATGGATATAAAAGGAAAAGTAATTTTTTTTAAGACCATTAACTATTAAGATAAAATCAAAGAAAACTCAAATGAGTGTGTATAAATAAACATGTTCATGTATGTGTAGTGTGACCTAAGTGTAAGTAGAAGTAGCAAGACATACTATATGTACAATATTAAAGCAGAAGGAGTCTATGAAGGCTATAACACCAGCAAAGGGTGTTACAGTAATTTCTAAGCAGTGGACCTCTGTCAATGAAAAGATAAAAAAGCTGCTGTTGACATGATTGACAGAGAAACAGCTCACAGGAGATACGTAGTGTAGTGAGATAAACATAAAAATTGCACATGGCAATTCTTAAGAAAAGTGTGAACTCCTGAAAGGATATGTCGCTCTGCATTTCTTCTCCAAGGTATGTAAATGCCGTATATACACCAGATCTAATTCAGTCAGCCTCACAAACATTGTTTTCTCTTATAATAACACCTCTGTGTTCATAGTGAGAATGCGCGACCGCTCTCGCGACCACAATCCTCCTCCCTCCGCTGTCCACGTAATGACACATTTTATTCACTTTAGAGTGTATATCAGGTTTCTATGTTATTTATGTTGTTTATTATGTCATATGAGATGAATTGTGACAGATAAATAAGCCGTAGAGTTGATATGAGGAAAATTGACCCAGCATACGAACAAATCAGGATACGAACAAGTCCATGGAATGAATTAAATTCGTAAGCCAAGGTTCCACTGTATGGTAATATTAAGCCTTTTGCTGTAACAGATGTGTACAGCAAGGCCCTGCTTTACGGCATTTCGCTTTACGGCATTCTGCTAATACGGGTATTTCAAATTATGACCAAAGGTCACACTACAGCTCCCCCTGCCTGACTTTCTAATACGGTCACCGTGCCCCACCCGGTTTATCTACATTCTCTGTGAGCTCTGTGTCTCTCCATTATGTCTGGAAACTTTCCAAAATTTGATGTTTTAAAGTTATTTCATATTTTATATATACAGTGGACCCCCGGTTTGCAATGCCATCGGTATCCGATAAATCCGGTATTCGATGCATTTTAACGCAAAAATTTTGCCTCAGTTCCCGTTAAAAAACCGGGTATACGATTCGTCCGAGATGTGTCCATGTGTGTGCCAGTGTTTACAAGCCAGCCAGTGTGCTCGCATCTAAGAATACATTCAGTACATTCCATATTATCACAGTGTTTTTGGTGCTTGTTTCTGCAAAATAAGTCACCATGGGCCCCAAGAAAGCTTCTAGTGCCAACTCTTCGAGAAAAAGGGTGCTAATGACTATTGAAATGAAGAAAGAGATAACTGCAAAGTACGAAAGTGGAGTGCATGTGTTGGAGCTGGCCAGGTTGTATACAAAACCCCAATCAACCATCTCTACTATAGTGACCAGGAAAACGGCAATCAAGGAAGCTGTTCTTGCAAAAGGTGCAACTGTGATTACAAAACAGCAACCGCAAGTGTTAGAAGATGTTGAGAGAATGTTATTGGTGTGGATAAATGAAAAACAGATAGCAGGAGATAGCATCTCTCAAGCGATCATTTGTGAAAAGGCTAGGCAGTTGCATGACGATTTGGTAAAATTGCCTGCAACTAGTGGTGATGTGAGTGAATTTAAGGCCAGCAAAGGTTGGTTTGATAGATTTAAGAATCGTAGTGGCATACATAGTGTGATTAGGCATGGTGATGCTGCCAGTGACTCTCAAGCTGGTCCTAGTGGCATTAAAAGAAGAAGGGAAGTAACCCCGGAAAAGGACTTGACTTGCTACCTCAAGTCCTATTGGAAGGGGATTCCCCTTCTAAACAATAAGTTCAACACTCTCCCCTCCTCCCATCCCATCAATCATCACCAGATCTTCATTAAAGGTAAGTGTCATGTATTCTATTGTTAGTAGAGTACTACAAACTGTGCATGTCTTCTTCAGTTTGTGTGCATTAAACTTAATATTTCATGTGGTAAATTTGTTTTTTTTTTTAATACTTTTGGGTGTCTTGCACGGATTAATTTGATTTCCATTATTTCTTATGGGGAAAATTGATTCGCGATTCGATAATTTTGGTTTACGATGAGCTCTCAGGAACGGATTAATATCGCAAACCGGGGGTCCACTGTACTACTCTGATAATTATACTTATGTGTACCTCTAAGTACACTTACACACTGTGCTAGTGTGCAGGTACACATTAAAATCAGTAAGAGTGTCTTATGAAAGTTAAGACACTTGTGCAACATCTGGTTATCTTTATTGTAGACGTTTCGCCATCCAGTGGCTTTATCAATACAGATTCTTGGAGGTGGTGTTTACAGCACCGTTGTTGTAGAGATTCTGAAGCACAGGTAAGGAAACTGGCGCTTATATAAGCGTCAGTGAAGAGGGACGTGTAGCAGACGAGGGCATAGTCACTGGTAGGCGGGATTTCCCAGTGGAAGTAGGTCCTTCCCATATCTACCACACCTGATTTCTGACAATAAATAATACTCATCTCACCCTACATGAAGACTACAAATATTTTAAGGTAAGTAATGAGTGTACTGTATGTGTATTTTACTTTTTAATTGTTTTTTAATGCCTAGTTCTATTGCTAACTTAGTACAGTGGACCCCCAGTTAACGATATTTTTTCATTCCAGAAGTATGTTCAGGTGCCAGTACTGACTGAATTTGTTCCCATAAGGAATATTGTGAAGCAGATTAGTCCATTTCAGACCCCCGAACATACACGTACAGACGTACTTACATAAATGGTCGCACTGGGAGGTGATCGTTAAGCTGGGGGCCATTGTATATGTTAGTGTAAACTTGTTACCTAGAATTTATATGCATTTACAAGTGGAAAAAATGGCATTCCACTTTACAGCGGTAGCCTGAAACCTAACCTGCCGTGTAAGTGGGGCCCTACTGTATTTTGTTTCATGCCTAAATATACAGAGGTTATGTACAACAACAATCATCTCATTTACTATGCTTGCACCTTCAATGTAGTGATCACAGATCTTGGCACACCACAAGCATAGCTCTGCTTCTCTAGCTACAAATACGTAATTACAAAAGTTTAGCTTTAGCCTTTGTCCTATTCAACATAGCCACGATTGATAATTCAATATAACAATATAACCAGAAGGATAAATAGACTGAATATATGTTTCTCTAACCATGCTTTCTGTGGAACATAGTCGAATCATTGTAAGCATAAGGTGACTTGACTGACTGCGAGTTTAAATCTGTATTGGAATTATAGTTGCTAGGTGTACTGGAGGAAGCAACTGGTCCTCCTGCAGCAGCTCCTTCACCCCGGCTATATGGGGAACTGGAAGTCTTGCAAGTGGAGCGTGATGTTGTGCTTGCAGTGGAAATACCAATGTTGCGCCGCAGAATGTTGAAGTCATCATTATACGTTAGGGCTGACCGCTGTCAAAAAATCAGAGATTACTTTAATATTTTTCCTTCCCTTGCAGTAGGTCCTAACAACTGATGAATAACACTAGTGCTAGGGAAGACAAGAATTTTGCATATGAGGGTAAACAAGGCTAAACAATGATATACTGTATTGTATTTTTACATATTATACCTATTTTATTATGTCTTTTCCTCTTTCTTTCAACACACCGGCCGTATCCCACCGAGGCGGGGTGGCCCAAAAGGAAAAATGAAAGTTTCTCCTTTTACATTTAGTAATATATACAGGAGAAGGGGTTACTAGCCCCTTGCTCCTGGCATTTTAGTCACCTCTTACAACACTCATGGCTTACGGAGGAAAAATTCTGTTCCACTTCCCCATAGAGGTAAGAGGAAATAAACAAGAACAAGAACTAGAAAGAAAAATAGAAGAAAACCAAGAGGGGTGTGTATATATATGCTTGCACATGTATGTGTAGTGTGACCTAAGTGTAAGTACAAGTAGCAAGACATACCTGAAGTCTTGCATGTGTATGAGACAGAAAAAAAAGACACCAGCAATCCTACCATCGTGTAAAACAATTAAAGGCTTCTGTTTTACACTCACTTGGCAGGACGGTAGTACCTCCCTGGGCGGTTGCTGTCTACCAACCTACTACCAAGATTTTATGTTCTTTCAACACACCAGCCGTATCCCACCGAGGCGGGGTGGCCCAAAAGGAAAAACGAAAGTTTCTCCTTTTACATTTAGTAATATATACAGGAGAAGAGGTTACTAGCCCCTTGCTCCCAGCATTTTAGTCGCCTCTTACAACACGCATGGCTTACGAAGGAAGAATTCTGTTCCACTTCCCCATGGAGCTAAGAGGAAATAAACAAGAATAAGAACTAGAAAGAAAATAGAAGAAAACCCAGAGGGGTGTGTATATATGTGCTTGTACATGTATGTGTAGTGTGACCTAAGTGTAAGTAGAAGTAGCAAGACATACCTGAAATCTTGCATGTTCATGTGACAGAATAAAGGACACCAGCAATCCTACCATGTAAAACTCACTTGGCAGGACAGTAGTACCTCCCTGGGCGGTTGCTGTCTACCAACCTACTACCTAGATTTTATTATGTATATTCACAAAAAAGAGAGCAAATGAGAGAGTGGGTGAGATGCTATCAACAAATTTTGTTGAAAATAAGAAAAAGTTTTGGAGTGAGATTAACAAGTTAAGGAAGCTTAGAGAACAAATAGATTTGTCAGTTAAAAATAGGAGAGGAGAGTTATTAAATGGAGAGTTAGAGGTATTGGGAAGATGGAGGGAATATTTTGAGGAATTGTTAAATGTTGATGAAGATTGGGAAGCTGTGATTTCGAGGTATAGGGCAAGGAGGAATAACATCTTGTAGGATTTGAGGAAGAGCCAGTTGTGAGTGGTGGGGGAAGTTCGTGAGGCAGTAGGTAAAATGAAAGGGGTAGGCAGCCTGGATTGATGGGAAAAGACAGAAATGTTAAAGCAGGTGGGGATAAGTTTTGGAGTGGTTGGGGGCAATTATTTATAAATGTATGGAAAGGGTAAGTTTCCCTAGGGATTGGCACAGAGCATGCATAGTTCCTTTGTATAAAGGCAAAGGGACAAAAGAAGTCAAAAATTATAGGGGATAAGTCTGTTGAGCATACCTGGTAAAGTGTATGGTAGAGTTATTACTGAAAGAATTAAGAGTAAGACGGAGAATAGGATAGCAGATGAACAAGGAGGCTTTAGGAAAGGTAGGGGGTGTGTGGACCAGGTGTTTACAGTGAAACATATAAGTGAACAGTATTTAGATAAGGCTAAAGAGGTCTTTGTGGCATTTATGGATTTGGAAAAGGCGTATGACAGGGTGGATAGGGGGGCAATGTGGCAGATGTTGCAGGTGTATGGTGTAGGAGGTAGGTTACTGAAAGCAGTGAAGAGTTTTTACGAGGATAGTGAGGCAGGCTCAAGTTAGAGTATGTAGGAAAGAGGGAGATTATTTCCCAGTAAAAGTAGGCCTTAGACAGGGATGTGTGATGTCACCCTGGTTGTTTAATATATTTATAGATGGGGTTGTAAGAGAAGTAAATGCGAGGGTCTTGGCAAGAGGCGTGGAGTTAAAAGATAAAGAATCACACATAAAGTGGGAGTTGTCACAGTTGCTCTTTGCTGATGACACTGTGCTCTTGGGAGATTCTGAAGAGAAGTTGCAGAGGTTGGTGGATGATTTGGTAGGGTATGCAAAAGAAGAAAATTAAAAGTGAATACAGGAAAGAGTAAGGTTATGAGGATAACAAAAAGATTAGGTGATGAAAGATTGGATATCAGATTGGAGGGAGAGAGTATGGAGGAGGTGAATGTGTTCAGATATTTGGGAGTGGACGTGTCAGCGGATGGGTCTATGAAAGATGAGGTGAATCATAGAATTGATGAGGGGAAAAGGGTGAGCGGTGCACTTAGGAGTCTGTGGAGACAAAGAACTTTGTCCTTGGAGGCAAAGAGGGGAATGTATGAGAGTATAGTTTTACCAACGCTCTTATATGGGTGTGAAGCATGGATGATGAATGTTGCAGCGAGGAGAAGGCTGGAAGCAGTGGAGATATCATGTCTGAGGGCAATGTGTGGTGTGAATATAATGCATAGAATTCGTAGTTTGGAAGTTAGGAGGAGGTGCGGGATTACCAAAACTGTTGTCCAGAGGGCTGAGGAAGGGTTGTCGAGGTGGTTCGGACATGTAGAGAGAATGGAGCAAAACAGAATGACTTCAAGAGTGTATCAGTCTGTAGTGGAAGGAAGGCGGGGTAGGGGCCGGCCTAGGAAAGGTTGGAGGGAGGGGGTAAAGGAGGTTTTGTGTGCGAGGGGCTTGGACTTCCAGCGGGCATGCGTGAGCATGTTTGATAGGAGTGAATGGAGACAAATGGTTTTTAATACTTGACGTGCTGTTGGAGTGTGAGCAAAGTAACATTTATGAAGGGATTCAGGAAAACCGGCAGGCCAGACTTGAGTCCTGGAGATGGGAAGTACAGTGCCTGCCCTCTGAAGGAGGGGTGTTAATGTTGCAGTTTAAAAACTGTAGTGTAAAGCACCCTTCTGGCAAGACAGTGATGGAGTGAATGATGGTGAAAGTTTTTCTTTTTCGGGCCACCCTGCCTTGGTGGGACTCGGCCAGTGTGTTAATAAAAAAAAATCACAAAAAAGTGCTGAAATATATGGGCATGTGTGTCATCGAGTTTCTGGAAAGGAATTTTCTGAAACTTTTCATAATAGGTCTTTCATTCTTTGATATCTATACTATATTTGTAATGGACACTGACCTGTTATGGATAGCACATGTCACATCAACTGGTGAAATCACATTTTATTATAAGCACAATCTTTTGGCCAACTGGGCCTATCACAGCAGAGGTTCACCTATGATTTTTTTTTTTCAATTCTGTTCCAGTACCCTCAAGATCAGTCAAAATTACTGATCATAAAAATGCAGTCCCACTTATGGCCATCTTTTTATCACTGTCTGTTATGTTAAACTGTACTCTCATGACTAAACACTGGATACAACATCTCATGGAGAGGTATTCAGCACCTCTCTGTGAGAGTTGTTAGGTCATGCTGACAGTCCCATTTTTCAAAGAGCATGTAGTCATTTCTAACATGACCTAATACCTTCACTTTAGCTACCTTTCCCACTGAAAGTCCCACTTCCAATGCAGCTTCTATGATTTATTTAATAAAATATCCTACAGCAACTGCAACAACCCCCTTGCTGCCAATGTCCTTCCTTCAACACCTCTGCCTCTCTCTCACTCTACAATCTTTTTTCACCTTTGCAATGCAGGGCTTAATGATCTAGACATATTTAGCATTTTCTGTGAGGAGAGGAACACAAACACAATATGGCTAACACAGAACAGGTCAAAATGTATGAGACATAGTAAGGAAGAAAATACTGGCTTAGGAAGGATAATTAATGAGAAGAGAATACTAATATGCCAATAATGCATTCTATATGTCATGTTAGCAAAGCTGATGTGTGAATTGCATTAATTACTATAGTACAAAATATTAAAGCAGTTAGAGCTGATTAGTTATTATACAACTAACATATATTACAAAAAAGAATAAATATCTTTAATCATTTTACATCAATAAGAGGATTTAAAATGTATTATTGGCCAGAGAAACTTTTACTTTTTCCTTCAAAATTAAACATTATTAAATTAAATTGTCTGAAAAATAAGTTCATTTTAAAGGAGACTTACCGAGGCTACAGATGTCCTGGTGACACTGAGTGACTCTTGGTATGGCACTTTTTTTCCAGTGCAAGTAAGGAACATGAAGTATAGAGAATCTCTGACACGGCTGTTTAGGAGGCAGTAACCCACCAGAATAAATACTGCTGTCAAGAGTGAGAATACTGAGAAGAAATAGTGAAGAATTTCCAGATCCTCTGACACTGACAAAACTGCCAGTACCCAGGTGGCTCCCAGCAATGGCAGGAACAGAATCCCAAGCCACAGGAGAGTCCTGACGATGAGGAAATAACAACTATTTAAATTTTATGATCTATTCTGACATTATATGTTTTATAGTTATTAATATGATTATCATTGCAGTAGTTCATGCATTTTTATTAAATTAATGAATATTTAGCATGCTTCTCCAAACTTACCTCAGATTGCCAAATCCTTCCACGTGACCTTTAAGAGTAAGTGAGGCCCGGATAGCCATGACAAACACAAGGAGGATAATTATGACAATGGCACAGATAGGGCCAACCAATGCCCATACCACAGACTCATAAATGGATAACCAGCAGCTGCAAAATGAATAAGAATATGAATACCTTGATAACTGCAAAGCTACAATTTTTTTTTTTTTTTTTACATGTTGGCCATTTTCCACTGAGGCAGGGTGACCCAAAAAGAAAAAGAAAAAACTTTCATCATTCAACACAAAGCTACAAATATACTACACAATAATGAATATACCGTACGTACATATATTATGTGACTTTCCTAAGTTTCCATTATGTGAGAAAAGAAGTTGCTATTTTTACTTTCTGCCTCAGGAACATGTTAGATGACAGGTAAACTTTTTAAACTTTATGTAAAGTATCATTGTAGGTAGTACGTTGGTAGACAGCAACTGCCCAGGGAAGTATTACTGTCCTGCCAAGTGAGTGTAAAATGGAAGCCTGTAATTGTTTTACATGATGACAAGACTGCTGGTGTCTTTTTTCTGTCTCATAAACATGCAAGGGTGTGTAAAGGTAGAATGTTGAAAGTTAACATAGATAAGAGTAAGGTGATGAGGGTATCAAATGATTTAGATAAAGAAAAAGTGGATATCACATTGGAGAGAGGGAGTATGGAAGAAGTAAATGTTTTCAGATATTTGGGAGTTGACTTGTCAGCGGATGGGTTTATGAAGGATGAGGTTAACCACAGAACTAATGAAGGAAAAAAGGTGAGTGATGCGTTAAGGTATCTGTGGAGACAAAAAACGTTACCCATAGAGGCAAAGAAGGGAATGTAAAAAAGTATAGTGGTACCAACACTCTTATATGGGTGTGAAGCTTGGGTTGCAAATGCTGCAGCAAGGAGGCAGTGGAGAAGTCCTGTCTAAGGGCAATGTGTGGTGTAAACATTATGCAGAGAATTCGGAGTGTGGAAATTAGGAAGTGTGGAGTTACTAAAAGTATTAGTCAGAGGGCTGAAGAGGGGTTGAGGTGGTTTGGTCATTTAGAGAGAATGGGTCAAAGTAGAATAACTTGGAGAGCATATAAATCTGTAGGGGAAGGAAGGCGGAGTAGGGGTCATCCTCGAAAAGATTGGAGGGAGGGGGCAAAGGAGATTTTGTGGGTGAGGGGCTTGGATTTCCAGCAAGCATGCATGAGCATGTTAAATAGGAGTGAATGGAGACAAGTGGTATTTCGGATCTGATGATCTGTTGGAGTGTGAGCAGGGTAATATTTTGTGAATGGATTCAGGGAAACCGGTTAGCCGGCCTTGAGTTCTGGAAATGGGAAGTACAGTGCCTGCACTTTAAAGGAGGGGTTTGGGATATTGGCAGTTTAGAGGGATATGTTGTGTATCTTTATATGTATATGCTGCTAAGCTGTTGTGTTCTGAGCGCCTCTGCAAAAACAGTGATTATGTATGAGTGAGGTGAAAGTGTTGAATGATGATGAAAGTATTTTCTTTTTGGGGGATTTTCTTTTTTTTTGGGTCACCCTGCCTCGGTGGGAGACGACCACAACCAATGTGTTAAAAAAAAAATGCATGCACTTTAAAGGAGGGGTTTGGGATATTGGCAGTTTGAAGGGATATGTTGTGTATCTTTATACATATGTATATGCTTCTAAACTGTTGTATTCTGAGCTTTCTTCTTCTTTCAACGTACCAGCCATATCCCACTAAGGCGGGGTGGCCCAAAAGGAAAAACGAAAGTTTCTCCTTTTACATTTAGTAATACACTGTATATATACAGGAGAAGGGGTTACTAGTCTCTAGCTCCAGCATTTTAGTCACCTCTTACGACACGCATGGCTTACGGAGGAAGAATTCTGTTCCACTTCCCCATGGAGATAAGGCGAAATAAACAAGAATAAGAACTAGAAAGAGAATAGAAGAAAACCCTGAGGGGTATGTATATATGTGCTTGTACGTGTACGTGTAGTGTGACCTAAGTGTAAGTAGAAGTAGCAAGATGTACCTGAAATCTTGCATGTTTATGAGACAGAAAAAAGACACCAGTAATCCTACCATCATGTAAAACAATTACAGGCTTTCATTTTACACTCACTTGGCAGGACGATAGTAGCTCCTTGGGTGGTTGCTGTCTACCAACCTACTGCCTACATTGTATTCTGAGCACCTGTGCAAAAACAGTGATTATGTGTGAGTGAGGTGAAAGTGTTGAATGATGATGAAAGTATGTTCTTTCTGGAGATTTTTTCTTTCTTTTTGGGTCACCCTGCCTCAGTGGGAGATGGCCGATTTGTTAAAAAAAAAAAAAAAAAAAAAAAATTGTATATTCTCCACGGGGAAGTGAAACAGAATTCTTCCTCCGTAAGCCATGCGTGTCGTAAGAGGCGACTAAAATGCCGGGAGCAAGGGGCTAGTAACCCCTTCTGTACACATTACTACAGTTAAAAAAGAGACTTATAGTTTTTCTTTTTAGGTCACCCTGCTTCGGTAGGATATAGCCAGTTTGTTGAAAGAAGAATATGTATATATACAAACCCCTCTGTGTTTTCTTCTATTTTCTTACTAGTTCTTGTTCTGGTTTATTTCCTCTTATCTCCATGGGGAAGTGAAACAGAATTCTTCCTCTGTAAGCCATGTGTGTTGTAAGAGGCAGCTAAAATGCTGGGAAGAAGGGGCTAGTAACCCCTTCTCTTGTGTACATTACTAAAGTTAAATAGAGAAACTTTTGTTTTTCCCTTTGGGTCACGCTGCCTTGGTGAGATATGGCTGGTTTGTTGAAAGAAGAAGTATCATACACTTTTTTTCCTCTCCTGTATTTCTTGGTTTTTAATCCTTGTAATATTTCCTTCCCAGTTGTGAGTTGCTAACAAATAACAAATAAGGCTTTCACTGCACCAGCAACTCTTCTACCAAGACTTTATATGCTTTGAACTCCACTAATACAAATTTATATTTTGCTTAGTCATTTATTTAAGCATTAAACTTACCCTTACAAGGGAGGTGCCTTAAGTCCCTTCCCCAACTCAAACTTGATTTCCTCTCATTCCCCAGGTGTTGTCTGAACCATATAGAGTTATGCCTTTCCCATGAATATAATGCTAAGAATAAAACTCATCAACATATAGCACCTCTTTCTCATCTACCCTGATTTTACAGTTGTCCCTTTCCCAACTGAAAACTTTGACAATAATTCATTGAGAAGTACTGAGAGAAAATGCACCCCCTATAATAACTTACAAAAAGTAATTGCCATACTGGTCTGCTCTGACTCCCACAGACAGTCCAACAATGATGGCAGGAAGACCATAGCCACAGGAGTAGTAAAAGCGCATCTGTCCATGGTTAACATCTCTCATCTCTGTCAGCATCCGGTACAGATGAACACCCTCGATCAATAGCCAGGTGAACACACATAGCCAGAAGTAGTGTAAGCCAATAGCCACCAACTTGCATGGAAACTATAAGTAAAAACATTTATACACTATACATGTATATCCAAAAGTCTACTTCTCAACCTTTTATCCATGAAACTAAACTAAATAAACTTACATGTAACAGCAAAGATATTTATCCTCCAAGGTTAAGTAATCTACAGATGCATAAAAAAGTAGACAAGTCTAACCTCCTGTTGCACAAGAATGTGTCTGATCTTAAGTGCAGCCAAGAAAAGGAGCTGCACCAGAAAGAGACAGGCAGTGAGGTTTTTGTGGATAGTGTTGGAGTTAGTCTGGGCACCACGTAACAAGCAGAACGCAATAAAAGCCATCAGCAGCAGCACCAGTGAGAGCACCAGCCCAGTGTATGTTGTTACATCCTCTGCGATGGATGGCTCAGCTAGAAACTAATCAAGAACAAGAAAAACATGGTTAAAGCTGTAACATAACACAATAAATTTAATACAGTAAGCAGTTTCATCAACACATTGCAACAATAAAAAAAAAAAAAAGCCAATAGACACATAGTACATTCTGTTTTGTACATCACTCTGAGTCTCAACAGCACTGTATGACTCTGATGGTATAGTGCATAGTTCTGATGATGATAATAATAATAATAATCTGATTCTCAACTGAATATAACATACCACTCTTACACAAGCATGCATGTAAATAACTGAATCTTCTTAATTTAAGCAGTGGCTACAGACATAAGAGAGAAGCAAGAATTTAGTGAGAGGCAAAAGTGACAAAGAGAATGAGCATAATTTCACTAAATATAAATCTGTCTAGAATTTAACACATACACACACACACACACATACACACTTCTCTCACTGTATACCAATCACTTTATAATAGTTCAGTGTTAAGTATTATAAGTGTATACCATAGCACACTACACAAATAACCCATACCTGAGAGACAAACTTATGATGATATATCTGACTTAGACTATTAACAAGTCACACAGAGAAGTACAAAGGAAAGGGAGCCAGAATATATGAGAAGTAATAAGAGTAGCTTCATATGAATGAAAGAGATTGAAAATGAAGATCAGAGAATTGAACAATTTAACAATAAAACATTGTCCTATAATTTTAAATTGGTTTTAAGACTGCCTGAAATGCTCCATATAATGAGGGAGCTTTCCTATAAATTTGTACAGTATAACATATAACCTACTTTTATAACAATTGTATATTATATTTACTGGACTTGTAAATTTTCATTTTTATTTCATTATTGGTAATTATGTATGTGCAGCACACCTTTACTACATGTGATGGATGATGTTTGTAAAATATACTGAAGATTCTTATAATGCAGAATTAGGTGTTTATGGCTTGAATGATCTTAATACAGCTACATGAGCCTAGAACTTCTGAGCAGCATAAAACAAGAGATACCTGTATACAGTATAAGAAACAGTTCACATTGCTAATGTAAGTAATCTCTAAGCATTTATAGTTCTAAAATATTCTTGAGTGTAATAGAGTGGAACATCGGCTAACAAATTTAATCCGTTCCTTGGACTTATTCGTATCCTGATATGTTCGTATGCTGGGTCAATTTTCCTCATTTAAATTAATTGAAATGAAATTAATTTGTTCACAATTCATCTAATATGACATAATAAACAATATAAATAACATAGAAACCTGATATACACTCTAGAATGAATAAAATATGTCATTACGTGGATGGAGAGGGAGGAGGATTGTGGTCGTGAGAGTGGTCGCTATGTATAATTTTTATGTTTATCTCACTACACTACGTACCTAGTCTGTGCTTATCAATGATTTCTTGCTTTAATTCCATGCAAATCATCCTCTTTTTCTCCTCGGCACTGTCCTTTCCACTTGCTTTCTTAGGACCCATGGTTAGAAGAAAGAAATCTGACGAATAAACTGCACGAAACGTAAGGAAATCATGAGAATTCCTTGCACCACGAGGGTAGCTCCGTAAGCACATGTGCATTGGTGAGCATTGTTTTGATTGACACTGCTATCTGGTGGTGGTGTTGTCAAACTAAATTATACACAGTATGAGCAGTGGGGGGGGGGGGGGTTGAAGAGGGTTGGAATAGTTTTAAAAATGCAGTATTAGAATGTGGGGCAGAAGTTTGTGGTTATAGGAGGGTGGGTGCAAGAGGAAAGAGGGGTGATTGGTGGAATGATGAAGTGAAGGTTGTGATAAAAGTGAAAAAGTTAGCTTATGAGAGGTTTTTACAAAGGAGAGGTGTTATACAAAGAGTAGAGTATATGGAGAGTGAAAGAAAGGTGAAGAGAGTGGTGAGAGAGTGCAAAAGGAGAGCAGATGATAGAGTGGGAGAGGCACTGTCAAGAAATTTTAATGAAAATAAGAAAAAATTTTTGGAGTTAAACAAGTTAAGAAAGCCTAGGGAACAAATGGATTTGTCAGTTAAAAATAGAGTAGGGGAGTTAGTAGATGGGGAGAGGGAGGTTTTGGGTAGATGGCGAGAATATTTTGAGGAACTTTTAAATGTCGACGAAGAAAGGGAGGCGGTAATTTCATGCACTGGACAGGGAGGTATACCATCTTTTAGGAGTGAAGAAGAACAAGATGTGACTGTGGGGGAGGTGCGTGAGGCATTATGTAGAATGAAAGGTGGTAAAGCAGCTGGAACTGACGGTATCAAGACAGAAATGTTAAAAGCAGGGGGGGATATAGTGTTGGAGTGGTCGGTATTTTTGTTTAATAAATGTATGAAAGAGGGGAAGGTACCTAGAGATTGGCAGAGAGCATGTATAGTCCCTTTATATAAAGGGAAGGGGGACAAAAGAGATTGTAAAAATTATAGAGGAATAAGTTTACTGAGTATACCAGGAAAAGTGTACGGTAGGGTTATAATTCAAAGAATTAGAGGTAAGACAGAATGAAGGATTGCGGATGAGCAAGCAGGTTTTAGAGTAGGTAGGAGATGTGTAGATCAAGTGTTTACATTGAAGCATATATGTGAACAGTATTTAGATAAAGGTAGGGAAGTTTTTATTGCATTTATGGATTTAGAAAAGGCATATGATAAGAGTGGATAGGGGAGCAATGTGGCAGATGTTGCAAGTATATGGAATAGGTGGTAAGTTACTAAATGCTGTAAAGAGTTTTTATGAGAATAGTGAGGCTCAGGTTAGGGTGTGTAGAAGAGAGGGAGACTACTTCCCGGTAAAAGTAGGTCTTAGATAGGGATGTGTAATGTCACCATGGTTGTTTAATATATTTATAGATGGGGTTGTAAAAGAAGTAAATGCTAGGGTGTTCGGGAGAGGGGTGGGATTAAATTATGGGGAATCAAATACAAAATGGGAATTGACACTGTTACTTTTTGCTGATGATACTGTGCTTATGGGAGATTCTAAAGAAAAATTGCAAAGTTTAGTTGACGAGTTTGGGAGTGTGTGTAAAGGTAGAAAGTTGAAAGTGAACATAGAAAAGAGTAAGGTGAAGAGGGTATCAAATGATTTAGATAAAGAAAAATTGGATATCAAATTGTGGAGGAGGAGTATGGAAGAAGTGAATGTTTTCAGATACTTGGGAGTTGATGTGTCGGCGGATGGATTTATGAAGGATGAGGTTAATCATAGAATTGATGAGGGAAAAAAGGTGAGTGGTGCGTTGAGGTATATGTGGAGACAAAAAACATTATCTATGGAGGCAAAGAAGGGAATGAATGAATGTATAGTAGTACCAACACTTATATGGGTGTGAAGCTTGGGTTGTGAATGCAGCAGCGAGTAGGTGGTTGGAGGCAGTGGAGATGTCCTGTCTAAGGGCAATGTGTGGTGTAAATATTATGCAGAAAATTCGGAGTGTGGAAATTAGGAGAAGGTGTGGAGTTAATAAAAGTATTAGTCAGAGCGCTGAAGAGGGGCTGTTGAAGTGGTTTGGTCATTTAGAGAAAATGGATCAAAGTAGAATGACATGAAGAGCATTTAAATCTGTAGGGTATAGAAGGCGGGGTAGGGGTCGTCCTCGAAAAGGTTGGAAGGAAGGGGTAAGGGAGGTTTTGTGGGCGAGGGGCTTGGACTTCCAGCAGGCGTGCGTGAGCGTGTTCGATAGGAGTGAATGGAGACGAATGGTATTTGGGACCTGACAATCTGTTGGAGTGTGAGAAGCGTAATATTTAGTGAAGGGATTCAGGGAAACTGGTTATTTTTATATAGCCGGACTTGAGTCCTGGAAATGGGAAGTACAATGCCTACACTCTAAAGAAGGGGTTCGGGATATTGGCAGTTTAGAGGGATATGTTGTGTATCTTTATATGTACGTATATGCTTCTAAACTGTTGTGTTCTGAGCACCTCTGCAAAAACAGTGATTATGTGTGAGTGAGGTGAAAGAGTTGAATGATGATGAGAGTATTTTCTTTTTGGGGATTTTCTTTCTTTTTGGGTCACCCTGCCTCGGTGGGAGACGGCCGACTTGTTATAAAAAAAAAAAAACACGTACACAGTATTATTATTATTATTATATTGTTATTATTTATTATACATAATTATTATTATGTATTATTATCATCATTTTAGTACATACGTATTATTATAGTAATTATTATCATTATTATAAATTTAGGGACCTGGAGCACAGATACAATTCCCTAGATCAAGAGCCCCCCACCATATATGTACTACTACTACTACTAATCATAATCATTATTATTATAACAACAACAATAATAATACAGTAGCAGTTTGGTAGACAGCAACCACCCAGAGAGGTACTACCATCCTGCCAAGTGAGTGTAAAACGGAAACCTGTAATTGTTTTACATGATGGTAGGATTGCTGGTGTCTTTTTTTTTCTGTCTCATACACATGCAAGATTTCAGGTACATCTTGCTACTTCTACTTACACTTAAGTCACACTACACATACATGTACAAGCATATATATACACACACTCCTCTGGGTTTTCTTCTGTTTTCTTTCTAGTTCTTGTTCTTGTTTATTTCCTCTTATCTCCATGGGGAAGTGGAACAGAATTCTTCCTCCGTAAGCTATGCGTGTTGTAAGAGGTGACTAAAATGCCGGGAGCAAGGGGCTAGTAACCCCTTCTCCTGTATATATTACTAAATTTAAAATGAGAAACTTCTGTTTTTCTTTTTGGGCCACCCCACCTTGGTGGGATATGGCTGGTGCATTGAAAGAAAGAATAATAATACAATATAATAATAATAACAGTAAGGAGAAACTTCAAAAGGCTGCCAGTAGTTGGTGGCACCATCAGCAAAACATTGGTAACCACTACTAGTACACTTTTCACCTGTCTAGACTTAAGTAGTCTATTAGTATTAGGTTAGGTCTGCCCGAAATACCTCAGGATGATAGAGGCTTTCTTTGTTCCAATCATATTATGATATGTAAACACACATTGTAACCTTTGCAAAGAAATAAATATTTTATTTATTTATTTATTTATTTAAGGAACCTCCCTTGAGGGGGAAGTATGCATCCTGAAATTTTGTTCGTATCCAGAAGCAAGAAATCAACTGAACGACGGTTCATATCCTGAAAACTTCGCATGGTGGGACGTATGTAAGCCGAGGTTCCACTGTATATAACAAATTAATTAAAAGTTAATAAAGTATAATTATCAAGCTTTTAAACTGGGAATAACCCTTTCAGGGTTTCGGCCGTACTAGTATGGCTTACACACCATGGTCCATGATGTACTAGTACTCATAAATTCTAGTGCCTTCAAATCTAGTGAGAGAAAGCTGGTAGGCCTACATATGAAAGAATGGGATTATGTGGTCAGTGTGCACAGTATAAAAAAAATCCTGCAGCAGTGCGTAACGAGAAAAAAAACATTGACCGTGTTTTTGGATTAAAACAGCGACTTTGCACTACATTTTCGTATGGTATTTATTGTTGTATTCTAGTTTTCCTGGTCTCACTATATAGAATGGAAGACATATTACAGAAATTGAGATGATTTTGACTGGTTTTACAATGAAAAGTACCTTGGAATTGAGCTCAAAGTAGCAGAAATGTTCAATTTTTAACAAAGTTCAAAAGTAAACAAATCATGCTAAGCGTCTAATACACGTCAACTGGTGAGTCTAATATTCTTTCACAAGTGCGCCAATGTTATTTATACCATTTCTACACTAATGCAGTAGTCTGCATAACAGTAAATCTTCTATTTTTTGTGAGAATAAAAATTGAAAGTGGAAAGCAAAAGAAATGTAAGAGGGGCCTGGGGATGTGACTAATGAACAGAGGAAATGTTATTTTAGTGCCAGAAATGTCTTTCTTGTTTATTCTGGACCCTATTTGGAAATTGGCATCTTTTGAAATTTGTGTGAAATTGGTAAAATTGCTAAATTCTGACCACTGTATTGGATAGTTGAAATTGGTAAATTGGTGGTTTCTTGTACTCATTCGATAGAAAAAATGGAGTTCTAGCGAAATAGTTATGATTTTTGTCGACTAGTACATTGGAATTGGCCGAAAACAGGGCTCAAAGTGGGCAAAATCGCCAATGCATAAACATCGTCGAGACCACTAACTTCGTGAGAGCATAATTCCGTAAGTTTTCCATCAAATTTCATACTTTTGGTGTCATTATGATCAGGAAAAGATTCTCTATCTTTTCATAAGAAAAAATATTTTTTTTTTTTTTGAATTTTGGGGGATCCTGAGAACAAGTCTTTGAGAGGGCCTGTGGACCCTGAAAGGGTTAAGGCTAAATATGAGTGTTGGTGAGGAATATTTTTCTGCCCAAATATGTACACAGTTTCTCAATATTTATCTGTAAGTAGTATAACATTTCAAAATGTCCTGGTGGGTGGTACATGCAAAATTTTCCTTACATTCCACAATTCATTCTACTGACATACACTATATTTCTTGCAATTTGCATTTTCCCCATGTCACTATCCCTTCTTTCTCTTATATTTAGTTAACATAGTACATACAGGAGGGGCCCCACTTTACAGCGCTTCGCTTTACAGCATTATGCTTATACAGTGATTTTCAATTATACCCACTTTTCATTTATTCAGACTTCCTACAATAAATATATTTGCCACTCACTTTAAGCTAAGGACGAAAATATGTTAAAGTGAGCAATGTGTGCGTTTTACAGGCCTAGCTCTATTGCTCACCTAATAGTATATGATAGTGTAAACATGTTATCAGGCTTTTAAATGCATTTGAAAATGAAAAAAAGGCTATGTTTCATTTTACAGCAATTTTTGCTTGACAGCCATAACCAGGAACCTAACCTGCTGTATAAGTGGGGCCCACATGTACATATATAGTTTTATTATGCCTAAAATGTTTTTCATATCAATGGCTTTCCAAATAGCCTGTATCTTTTTATAACTATTTATATTTGCAATTACTATTAACCCTTTTTGGAAAAAAACTTTCATTTTAATTTTCATATTATTGTAACCACGGACAAGTGTTATTGATCAATAACAACACTGCACTAGCCAAGGATTCGAACCCATGTTGTACTGGCCTGCCTCATGGTAAGCGAGAACCACATGACGCTTTAAGCCACAGGACCACAGGTCCTGTAGTTTAAAGCGTCATGTGGTTCTCGCTTACCATGAGGCAGGCCAGTACAACATGGGTTCGAATCCCTGGCTAGCACAGTGTTGTTATTGTTTAATTTTCATATATAAAGTATGATGAACCTCAACACTGACCTCTGCCTCAGCATCATTAAGGATGACAGCAAAACTGGAGAGGTGGTTGCAGGTGCAGTTGATGAAGGTATCATTAATGTATTCACCATAGCCATGTTCTGCCTCGCTGGTTTCACAGCCATCACGTGTCCACACACCCCCACTATTGCTAGTGCCAAGTGCATGTCACAATAATTATTAATATACATTGCCGGACACAAGTTCTTATTCTAAATGCAATATCAATAATCTATTTATAGTATTTTGTAGTGAGTATATAAAATATACCATCTAATCAATACTTACCTATCATGTTTATCAACCCAAGTAACACATTGAGGGTTGGCTCGTTTTCCAACATGACCCAATCGAAACCTAAGTCTCACATCCACATCAATTTTATTTTTGACCAATCCACCATCAGACGTGTGCACAGCAACAGTGAATACTGGAGAGCGCACAGCTAAGCCAACACCCCATCGCTGCTCCACATCCACATCGTAAGTCTCAGGAAGTAGTATGCCCAGTGAACGGAACACGACATAGCTCACCACCGCACGAGTACTGCCCAGGGTGCCTGAGGTCGAGGTCTCATCTGTTATAAGGAACATGTCTACACAATTAGTCTATTGCAGATCATAATCATGTGCATTCTCATCTCTAATACCTGACAGTAATTTTTTTTTATATCCAATGTATGTACTGGCATTAATACATTAAAATATAATTAAATTATTTATTTGTTTATACTGTAGTACTTAAATATACTTTTCATAAAACTGTCAACTTACCCTGTTTAACATCTGGAATGCCAACCAGTGATAAAGGAATGCGGATGTTTGTGTTATGTACCCATGTTTGCTGGTTCTTGAGATAGTTGTTGTACTTTGGGACAATGACAGAAACTTGGCCCTGACCTGGGTAATGTTTATCCACTAGAGAAGAAGTCTCAGGAATGATCACGTGATCCACTCGGTCATCATGTCCCACCACAAACCCTGACTGACTGTATCCATACAGTTCATCTGCTGATACAGTGTCCATCCCAAACACTGCACAAAGAAGGATCATTAATGAGGATTCTCCCTAATAAATAATGAAGTTTTTATATAAGTAAAATATTGTGGAGTAGACACATACATGTGCCAATTATAATATTTTATTAAGGAAATGTTTTGCCCACTAGGGGCTCTATCAAATTATTAGTAGGCAAAACATTTTCCCATGAATATCAAGTTAATAATTTAAACACAACATATTCAACCTCTTCTTTATCCACCCTGATTTTACGGTTTCCTTTTCTCCAATGAAAACTTTTATAATAATTCACTGGAGGTAGCTACTCTTTGAGTTCCTGTTGGTATTGAGATACTTAACATAGGTACAGTATTTTTTTTTATCGCACAGGCCATCTACCACTGAGATAGGGTGACCCAAAAAAGAAACACTTTCACCATCATTCACTTTATTACTGTCTTGCCAGAAACTACAGTTCAGATGCCATTCCAAACTGCAAATATTCCCACCCCTCTTTTAAAGTGCAGGCACTGTACTTCCCATCTCCAGGACTCAAGTCCAGCTAACTGGTTTCCCTGAATTCAGTGTGCAACAAAACAACAAACAAATCAATAATTTCTTAATCTAAAGAATTTACACATATTTCAGACCACTTATATCAATATGTAAAGTATGTATTATCTTGCAGGTGGGAAGTACAGTGCTGGCACTCTGAAAGAAGGGCGGGGATAATTACAGTTTGGAGGGGCATCTGAACTATAGTATCGGCAAGCCACTGCCAAGACAGTGATACAGTGAAAGATGGCGAAAGTTTTTTTTTTTTTTTAGGTCACCCTACCTCGGTGGGAGATGGCTGGTGTGTTAAAAAAGAAATCTCTGAAAATTATTTCCTCGTAGTTTTTTCATATACTAACCAACATATTTGGTAGGAATTTCAAATGGAGTAGTGTAAGTATCGCTTTGACTGGTGGCTAGAGTAGCCACATATTCATCCATTTTTGTGAGCAAAGAATCTGCACCAAAGCCTTCTACACCATTGATTCTCTGCCAGTGTGGGGCATATACTGGCTGTAGGATCACAGATGCTGATTCTACCAAATTCTGCAATAAAAGAAAAATTAAATGTTAAAAATTAAATATTAATGATGGGAAATAACTAATGTATTAAAAACTGTATATGTACTCTACTATTAAGTTTAGAGCATATTCCTATCAATAAAACCTCAAGTAACTTTAAATACAGGCAAATACAAATATGTAAAATATAAAACACCATATACAGCTGAAGAACAAGATAATTGCAGAGAGGAACCTTATTGAGATGTTTTGCTGTGGCAGTTTTCCTCAGCCAATACACAGAGATGAACAACAAGTAAATTCATACAAGCATAGTGAGGTGACTGACCAGGTCAGTGAGGTCAATGTGTGTGTGTGAGGTGTAACATAACAACACTGGTTCTTTCAATGACTTGTTAATATAAGTTAGGCTAAACTGAAAATTTGAATATGTTGTAATGACACGATTGCAAACAAACCATACCCCCGGCCGGGATTGAACCCGCGGTCATAGAGTCTCAAAACTCCAGCCCGTTGCGTTAGCCACTAGACCAGCTAGCCACAATAAGATTCATCCAACTAGGTATATTTCTACACACCATAGGAAGGTTAGCACAGGCACCACTGTGACCACAAATGCAAGTTTTTACAGACGAATCTCCAGCTAGCGTGGCCGTGACGAACTCTAGCTCAAGTCCCTTCACTGCCGTCAACATGACTCAAGAAATCGTAATGACACGATTGCAAACAAACCATACCCCCGGCCGGGATTGAACCCGCGGTCATAGAGTCTCAAAACTCCAGCCCATCGCGTTAGCCACTAGACCAGCTAGCCACAATAAGATTCATCCAACTAGGTATATTTCTACACCATAGGAAGGTTAGCACAGGTACCACTGTTGACGGCAGTGAAGGGACTTGAGCTAGAGTTCGTCACGGCCATGCTAGCTGGAGATTCGTCTGTAAAAACTTGCAATTGTGGTCACAGTGGTGCCTGTGCTAACCTTCCTATGGTGTAGAAATATACCTAGTTGGATGAATCTTATTGTGGCTAGCTGGTCTAGTGGCTAACGCGACGGGCTGGAGTTTCGAGACTCTATGACCGCGGGTTCAATCCCGGCTGGGGGTATGGTTTGAATATGTTGCCTTGTATTCGGTGTGCAGATTAATGCCACCTCCAGAAATATGCATTGTACTTTGTAAATTTCCTTAATGACCAGATGGGAGTTCTGAGTCATCAGGTGTGCAGTCTTGTCCCTGTGTTTCATGCAGGTGTTATTTGTGTTGAGTTCTGCACATGACATTCTTGAAACCTAAGCTATAAACTACAGGAGGTTTTCCCTACAAATTTCTGGTCACAACTACCATGTGGGATGATGTAAATTCTTGTGTTGTTGTGGTTCTGGCAATTCTCTTTTATGCCTGGTCAATCTGATGGTGCTGGATGTAACAGCGGCAACATTTATGTTGCTTCTGACAAGGATGGGTGCATTAAATCCTGTTGTGTGGCCTGTAGGAAGGACAAATCTTCTGTCTGTTTTTCTCTGGTTTCAGTAAGGTGTATATTTTATGTGCATGGTCTCCTGCTATTATGGATGTATGCAAGAAATTTTGGCATCTGGAAGACAGCTCTAAGAACACTGCTGATACTTGCAAGCTGTGCTAATCTACAATTCAACAGTAAGGAAGCTTTCATTGTAGCAAAACCATTTTTCCAAGTCCTCTTACATAAATAGGTCATCAGAAGGACTGGCAGACCAACTGCAGTGCCCTTATCGTACATTTCACCCAGACAGCGACCTCATTGACCCGAACAGTTACCTGACTACTCTTGTATAAATCTGCTTGTTGTGCATCCTTGTGTATTGACTAAAGCCTGTTCCACAAGCTGTTTACACATGAAATTAATTAAATTCCCCTAAGCAATATGCAAACTTATGCAATGATTAGTTAATAAAATGATACTACTCTCATTTCATACTACTCTCATTTCCTACTTGAATGTAGTGTCGGTCTTGACGGTGAGTAAGGTTGAGTCCCTCCTGATGGGTTTCATACTCAAGCAGCAGGATAAGGAGACGTGAGGCAATAAGGACATCTGAGCCCCACATAGCAGGCGTCACAGAGCAGGCATAATTTACGTCCTCAGAGATTTTCACTGCCAGGTATGTTGTGATCTCTAATTCTTGACTTTCAAGGCTCTCAAGCTGAAATTTTTTTTTAAATTACAGCAAATCAACCTCTAAAATTTAAAATACAGTCATCAACCTATTACTGTACCCAGAGGCTACCTAACTGATAGATTCACTTAACTGTACTAATTACTGACATGCAAGTGAATGTATATTCTGACCTCTCAGCACAATTGCTTATGTATTCTTGTTTATATCTAAATTATCCTTAAAAAACATGTGGATAAACTCTGGTCCAGAGACCAGTTACAAATTAATCTCCAGAGCTAAATGGCAATAGTTATGAAGAAAGCCTGAAAGTTTGTGACTTGCTATCTTTGACTAGTATGAGAATGGAGGAAAAAATTGGAGAATGATAACCACATTAAAGATCGTAAAGATTCAATAGAAATGCTAAGGAAGGTTTCCTAATGCCGTAAAAAGGCAGAAAATGAGGACATGTATAAAAACTAAGGAAGAAGAGCTGCTAAAAAGAATACTAGAAACCTTTCTCTGAAAAAGTGGCAGAACAATGGTATGGTTTACAAGGAAGAGGCAAGTGCTACAACTGCCTGCATCATCACAAAAATTTAGGACAGAACAAATACTGAAGTTGGGGTAACACAAACTTGGCTGCTTCCATAGCTATAAATAGAAATTCACACATACAGATCATTAACTGTAGGCACATGCTTGTTAGGAATTTCATCTGTAATCTTATTAAATGTACGTACTTTAGTTTTAGTGGAAGTAATGATATATCCTGTGCTGTGGTGAGACCATGAAAATTTTCTTCTTCTTTCAACAAACCGGCCGTATCCTACCAAGGTAGGGTGGCCCAAAAAGAAAAACAAAAGTTTCTCTTTTTTAAATTTAGTAATTTATACAGGAGAAGGGGTTACTAGCCCCTTGCTCCCAGCATTTTAGTCGCCTCTTACAACACGCATGGCTTAGGGAGGAAGAATTCTGTTCCACTTCCTCATGGAGATAAGAGGAAATAAACAAGAACAAGAACTAGAAAGAAAATAGCAGAAAACCCAGAGGGGTGTGTGTATATATATGCTTGTACATGTATGTGTAGTGTGACCTAAGTGTAAGTAGAAGTAGCAAGACGTACCTGAAATCTTGCATGTTTCTTCTTCTTTCAACGTACCAGCCGTATCCCACTGAGGTGGGGTGGCCCAAAAGAAAAAACTAAAGTTTCTCTTTTTAAATTTAGTAATATATACAGGAGAAGGGGTTACTAGCCCCTTGCTCCCGGCATTTTAGTCGCCTCTTATGACACGCATGGCTTACAGAGGAAGAATTTTGTTTACTTCCCCATGGAGATAAGAGGAAATAAACAAGAACAAGAATTAGAAAGAAAATAGAAGAAAACCCAGAGGGGTGTGTATATATATATGCTTATACACATATGTGTAGTGTGACCTAAGTGTAAGTAGAAGTAGCAAGACGTACCTGTAACCCTGCATATTTATGAGACAGACAAAAGACACCAGCAATTCTACCATCATGTAAAACAATTACAGGCTTTCGTTTTACACTCACTTGGCAGGACAGTAGTACCTCCCTGGGCGGTTGCTGTCTACCAACCTACTATCTAGGACCATGAAAATTTATCACTCTGAAAGTCTTCACTACATAACACTTTGGTGTCATGAAAGCTTTGGGGTATAACTGCATTTTACATTCACAGGGTTCTCAATATGAGATACAGAGGTCTGATACATATTAATTTGCAGAAGAATGTGCTTACCAAGTCACGCAACTCTATAAATGTGTCCGACACACAATTGAACATGTCTGGCAGTCCCCATCCTATTTCTCTGTGGCAGACACGAGAAGCCTGACCCTGGGCACCATAGGGACACTGTTGTACTGTTGTACCATCAAAAGGTGTCTCATCCCACCATATCAAATCCGCAAAATTTTTGGGGCATCCATCATACACAACTGCAAAACACAGGATTATCATGAAGTTAACTAAAATTATGAATAACAATGCGAGTCTAAAGAATACTGTATGCTGAAATATATTTTACAAATTAGTAATGATAAAAATTTCCTTACTTTCACAGCCCATAATGGTGACTTGGGCAAAGGCATTCGCACACTGATCACAACGTCGCCCAATGACCCCAGGACGACAGCGACACTGACCAGTAATAGGATCACAAGAGCCACCATATGACCCAACCAGGTAGCAGTCACAGTCATAACAAGCAGATGATTCATCAGGTTGGTAGTGGTTTTCCTAAAGAATGTATAATATACATTGTATTACCACCAAAGAGGACTTAAAGATAATGCATTTTTAAGTTATAAATAATTTAAGCTACTGCCAGAGTAGACACAAGTATTTCAGATCAATATTCTTAATTTAGCAAAGTAGAAAAAACAAAAAAGATTTAACACACCAGTCATATCCCACTGAGGTAGCTAACCCAAAAAAGGAGAAACACTTCTGTGTACACCAGTAATAAAAATATTCTCTTTTACAAAATTGTTACGTGTTAATGCTTTAGGTTTGAACCCATGAACTCTAACAAGGAAGACATGGGTGTATGTACCTGGCAGTAAGGATACAGAAAAGTGAATAGCTAAAAGTGGATGTTCCTGCAGATAAGTCTATGAAACATGCTGTAGTGGAGTAGATTGACAAATGAACTATTTTTTTTAATTTGATGTGCTGTTTTTGTGAATGATGTGATATGTACATGTATGTAGGGATTCAGGGAATCCACTTAGCGGGACATGAGGTAGGAAGTACAACAGTTGTAGTGCTTAAGATGGGGGGAATGAAATTGGTGGGAATCAAGAGGTCATATTACTGGATCATGACTTCTGCATCTTCCTAGAGAGACATTTAGGGAGCAGGTGATGATGAACACGTTTTTCCAACTGCTTTGGTGGGAAGGGGCTATGTTAAAAATGTTTTACACTATGCAAGGAATGTATTCAGGAAATTAACAATACTGAAATAAGTAGAACATAAAATAGTGCTGGATAGTGTATAATAAATCATGAGAAACAAACAAACAAATCAAGTAACAAAATTTGATAAAAGTTTTGCCATATAGAATTTAAAATGACATAAATATGTACAAAAGTGTCTCTTTTTTAGGTCACCTGCCTTGGTGGGAAACAGCCAGTGTGTTGAAAAAAAAGGTACAAAGCCATATTTCTGCTTTATATGAGTAAATGCTGGCAAAAAGTAAATTTTGTTGGAGGTGAAAGCTTGTGAATTATTGAATATTAACCCTTTGAGGGTCGACAGGTCCTCTCAGAGACTTGTTCTCAGGGTCGGCCAAATAAAAAAAAAAATTATTTTTTCTATGAATAGATAGAGAATCTTTTCTCGATCATAATGACACCAAAAGTATGAAATTTGATGGAAAACTTACGGAATTATGCTCTCGCGAAGTTAGCGGTCTCTACGATGTTTATGCATCGGCGATTTTGCCCACTTTGAGCCCTATTTTCGGCCAATTCCAGTGTACTAGTCAACAAAAATCGTAATTATTTCGCTAGAACTCCATTTTTTCTATCGAATGAGTACAAGAAACCACCCATTTACCGATTTCAACTATCCAATAAAGTGGTCAGAATTTAGCAATTTTGCCAATTTCACACAAATTTCAAAAGATGCCAATTTCCAAATAGGGTCCAGAATAAACAGGAAAGACATTCCTGGCACTAAAATAACAAGTTCTCTGTTCGTTAGTCACATCCCCAGGCCCCTCTTATATTTCTTTTGCTTTCCACTTTGAATTTTTATTCTCACAAAAAAAAAAATAAGATTTACTGTTATGCAGACTACTGCATTAGTGTAGAAATGGTATAAATAATATCAGCACACTTGTGAAAGAATATTAGACTCACCAGTTGATGTGTATTGGACGCTTAGCATGATTTGTTTACTTTTGAACTTTGGTAAAAATCGAACATTTCTGCTACTTTGAGCTCAATTTCAAGGTACTTTTCATTGTAAAACAGTCAAAATCATCTCAATTTCTGTAATATGTCTTCCATTCTATAAAATGAGACCAAGAAAACTAGAATACAACAATAAATACCATACGAAAATACAGTGCAAAGTCGCTGTTTTAATCCAAAAACACGGTCAAAGTTTTTTTTTCCTCATTACGCACTGTGTGCTGCAGGATTTTTTTTATACTGCGCACACTGACCACGTAGACCCATTCTTTCATATGTAGGCCTACCAGCCTTCTCTTACTAGATTTGAGGGTGCTAGAATTTAGGCGTACTAGTACGTCAAAAACCCTGGGTCGTAAGACGTACTAGTACGTCCGAAACCCCCAAAGGGTTAAATGTATATAAAACTAACTTGCCTCAGTGGGAAATGACCGATGTGCTAAAAAAAAAAAAAAAAACTAACATTACACTCAAAAAGAAGCATGGATAAGCACACTTCCTCAATGCTAATGATTTATGTCACAATACTTTCAATGAACTTACCTCACAACGGCACTCCCCAGTTGTCTTGTTACAGTCTCCATCATAACCTTTATCTATGTCACAGTGGCAGGGACCACACACAGGATATCCCCACCAATTGGTAGGACATGGTTGATCCAGTACCATCTCACAATATTCCCCTGTAAAGAAAGGGCAAATACCTTAATAACTGGTGGTAAACAGTCACTTTTAGTTAAAAAACCTTTTATTAATATGATGTTTAGACAAAATATGTATCCCTCATTTTTTCTCTATGGTGTTGGTACGGTGGATGGTGGCAGTCTTAACCCATGCACACAATCTTGGATCAATATATAAAAACAAAATACCACAACCTGATCAGCTGACCTCACTTCTATCCAGCATCCCTTGATGTCACCTTGATGGCAGCTGACCTGATCTGTCAGAACATGAGTTGTCCTGGCAGTACCTGACCTGACTTGGCAGTCCCTCATCTCCCCATGTGATTTATTTACTATTATTTGAATGCAACACATTCAAGCCCCTAGTGGGTAAAACATTTTAGTAATAAAAAGGGTCTTTGTTGAAATTGTCTTTTTATCACCTGTCAGATCACACCCATTCAATTAAAAATGGCAAACAAAATAAAAAATGTTTATCAACAGAAGTCTAGGAAGAAGAAAATTAGGCATTTTAACTAACCAGAAAATTCATATGTAGGACACTCGCAACGGTAGCCTTTTGGTGAGTGTATATCGTGCACACAAGTGGAATTGTTGCTGCAGGGATTTAGGTGGCAAACATCAGCACATTTTTCACCATAATAGCCCTTATTGCACTGGCACTCATAGCCCTGCCAAGTGTTGATGCACTGGGAGTTGGGTGGGCAGGGACGGGAAGTGCAGGGATCCGATGCAACACATCCATCCCGCACTCCATCCTCATGGGTAGGACGCAGCCAAGCATTCTTGCTGCTGCCTACACGTACATCCTGGGATGATATTCATTATGTCCAGAATTTATAAACAAACACTTTTTTTAGAGATTTAGAAAAATTGCATTATTAACTTTCAAACTGAATTTTCATTAACCCTTAAACTGTCCAAACAGATCTACGTTCACATGCGTAGTGCTCCAAAAGTAGATCTACGTTATTTTTACATATTTTCAAATATAACAAAAAAATGTAGATCAAAGTTTTTTTTACACATTTTCAAATGTAAAAAAAAAAAAGGTCTACGTTTTTTTACATACTTTCAAATGCTGAAAAAACGTAGATCTATGTTTGGACAGTTTAAGGGTTAATAAATATGTTTTGTTTTAAAATCTGTATTATAAATTATAATAATCAAATAACACTGACCTTGATACAGCCCTTGAAGCCCGTGACTTTGGCCGGGTCTGAGGGCTGTACACCTCCCACTGACACCTTCCCAATATAAAGGTTAGCTATATGGGCATCAACTCGGACTGTAATTTCATGGTTGCCATAGTCAAGGTTGATCCACACCTCTCCACTCATCCACTTCACCTCAACATTGTGCCAGAGCCCATCATCCACTACAGCATCCACCATCTTAATTGTTGTATTCTCGTACCGGTACTGGATATAACCATCGACCAGCTAGGACACAGATGGGATATACCAACATTTTAAAACTGCTTTTGAACTAAATATTTTATTTATTATCCTGTACAACAATCAAGGAATCTTCTAAGATTAAGTAAAGATATACTAAGATTAAGTAAAGATATATGGTGTAAGCAGAAGTTAATAAGGCTGTTTTATTATTTAATACATTAGAAACTTTGAAAACAGTTACATTATGATAATTTCATTACTCTGTTTAAATATTTTACTGATTTACTATATCTCCTTTTCTTTAAAAAATCTTCCTTTCTCTGCCATTATTATAGTTATCACCATAAAAATAAAGAGCTTTCTCAATACTTTTGACTCTTTCCTCACCTCAATGATACTGTTGGCATTCTGGCCAACAAGAGTTATCATAAGAAGGCCAAACTGTTCTCGTGTTCTAAAGGAAAGGCTGTTGAACCAGGGTAGCTGGATGGTCTGCAGTTGTGGACTAAACACAAGGAAGCCTTCACCTGTAAATTGCTTAACGACCTCCACACCTGTATGGAGAGGGGTGTTTATCTTATCTGAATGTAGTAACTACAGTGCAATGTTTCCCACTGGAAATTTCCTATCATAGCAATGTAAAAAGAGAAATAATGCACTATGAGAATTCACAATTTTTTTAATCAGCACACCAGCCATCTCCCACTGAGGTGGGTTACCTGAAAAATAAAAATCACTTGTACTGTTACTCATTAAATCACTGTCTTACCAGAAGTATGGTAACATCACTGTTCAAACAGGTCTCTGAACTGCAATATCCCACCCCTCCTTCCAAGCGCAAGTATGTACTGTAGTCCCACCTCCAGGACCCAAATCCGACTATCCAGTTGCAGTGAATCCCTTCATGGAGACCCTATCTGCACTTCAACAGTACATCAAGTCAGAAAAAACACTCATTCTTATCTAATGCACTCATACAAGCCAGTTGGAAATCCAATCTACTAGCACTCAAAACCTCCTTTATCCCCTCTTTACAACCATTCCTGGAATGACCCTTACCCCCATACCCTCCACCCCAGATGTATACATCCTCCTAGTCATTCTATTTTGCTCCATACTCTCTAAATATCCAAACCACCTCAACAACCTCTCCTCAGTCTTCAGAATAATACTTTTAGTAACCCACACCTTCATGTAATTCCCAAACTCAGAATTCTCTGCATAATATTCACATCATGTATTGCCCTCAAACATAACATATCCATAGCCTCATCTACATCTCACTGCAATGTTTAAGATCCATGCCTCACACCCATACAACAGTGTTGGTACCAGTATACTCTGGTACATTCCTTTTTTTTTTTTTGCCTCCACTGATAAAGCTGTCTCCACATATGCCTCAATGCACCACAATGCACAATGCGTCAGTTCGTGGGTTCTAACCCCGCCTGTGGTATGGTTTATCTCCTCCTCTAACTTATAAACTTTCTTTTCACTCTTACTCACTAATGCTATTCTCCTTTTACCCTATCTTCCTCTTATTCTCACTTAAACTACCAGTAAATAATGATCTGATATTTGTCACCCCCCCTGAAAACATTCACATCCATAAGTCTACCCATCAACCTTTTATCTAATATAGTACAGAATCCTTTATCCCAAATTCCAAAATCCAAAAACCTGCAAAATTCAAAAGTTTTTTCGAGCGCTGACATGATGTGCCACATCGTGGTGGAGCAGCAGCAATTCCTCACTGATTACCATGTGTTTTGTGCTCTGTGGTGTAAAGATACTGTTGAAAATGTTGAAAAGGCCCATGGGTAATAGTGAAAAGAAAAAGAGGAAGCATTTATGTTTATCTATATCACAGAAAGTAAAGTTGTTGGAAAAAACTTGACAATGTTGTCAGTGTGAAGCGACTGAGGAATCTGGCACTGAAACAAACACTGTCTATCACCTACAGAAACAGAAAGACAAACTGTTGAAGTTCTATGCTGAAAGTGATGAACTGAGGTTAATGAAAAGTAGAAAAATACTGCATAGAGGAAAAAAAAAATTAAAATTTCAATCGTGTAATGGAGTGGATTGGTCAGCGTTGGAGTGAGCATACGCCACTTAATGGAATGCTGATCATGAAACAAGTAAAAATCTATCATGATGAACTGAATATTGAAGGTAACTGTGAATATTCAGTAGGCTGGTTACAAAAATTTAAAAGAGGCATGACATTAAATATTTAAAGATTAGTGGTGAAAAAGCATCTGCTGATCATGATGCAGCAGAGAAATTCATTGATGTGTTTGCCAAAATTGTTTTGGATGAAAATCTAACTGCAGAACAAATCTACAATGCTGAGACATCGGTGTTCTAGCATTACTACCCCAGGAAAGCACTGACTACAGATGATGAGAGAACTCCTACAGGAGTTAATGATGCCAAAGACAGATTAACTGTGCTGGGATATGCTAATGAAGCAGGTATGTGTAAGTGTAAACTTGTTGTGGTAGGTAAAAGCGTGCATCTTCTTTGTTTTAAAGGTGTGACTATCTTACCAGTCCAGTATTATGCTAACAAAAGGGCATGGGTCACCAGGGACATCTTTTCTGATTGGTTTCAGATATACAAATATTCCAAAATCCAAAAAAAAACAAAAAAAAATCCAAAATCTGAAACACTCTAGGTCCCAAGTTGGATAAAGGATTCTCAACTGTAATACACAGTCTAACAAACTGCTATAATTATGCTCTATACCATGTCTAGTTTACTTATTTATCTTATTTTTCTGAGAATGTGTACTGTTACCATATTAACAATTAACACAGTTCAATTAGAGACCCTCATTTTCATTTATTGTTTATGGAAGAAGCAGCCTACTCCTATAAGGACAAGAACTATAAGAAAATGAAAAAAACTTAGATGAGTGTGTATACTCATACATACTCATGCACAGCCACATGTGTAGTATGAACTAGATAATTTGTAAACTTAAAAGATCATGAAAGAACTGTGTACACAGCTATTCAAAATAATATTTACATTTTGAAAAGCAGACTATCTTAGAAATGCAAAACCTTGAAAGGCTGACACACCTTGTGAGCAGTCTTTTCCACCCCAGCCATCTGGGCAGGAACAGATGTATGTACCGAATGTTTCCCTGCAGGAGCCTCCATTCTGACAAGGGTGAGAGCGACAGAAACTATTCTTCTCTGGACACCCTGGAAATGTCCCATTATCTGCCACAAACCTGCAATGCACAGTGGCTCTCAGAAAAATTTGTATTATTCCAGGATATAAAAATATGCAAGTTAGATACATGTGCAGTATACCTGGAGAGGGTTTTGGGGGTCAACACCCTCATGGGCCGGTCTGTGACCAGGCATCATAGTGGATCAGGGCCTAATCAACCAGGCTGTTACTGCTGCCCGCACACAACCCGACGTACGAACCACAGCCCGGCTGGTCAGGTACTGACTTTATGTGCCTGTCCAGCGCCTTCTTGAATACAGCCAGAGGTCTATTGGTAATCCCCCTTATTGTTATTATTATTATTATAAAAATTAAAATTATTATTATAATTATTATTATATTAGAGAAGTACTGGCCAGGCTGTGGCAGCGACCACCAAAATTCTTTAAAAACATTATCTATGGAGGCAAAGAAGGGAATGTATGAAAGTATAGTGGTACCAACACTCTTATATGGGTGTGAAGCTTGGGTTGTAAATGCTGCAGAGAGAAGGCGGTGGAGATGTCCTGTCTAAGGGCAATGTGTGGTGTAAATATTATACAGATAATTCGGAGTGTGGAAATTAGGAGAAGGTGTGGAGTTAGTAAAAGTATTAGTCAGAGGGCTGAAGAGGGGTTGTTGAGGTGGTTTGGTCATTTAGAGAGAATGGATCAAAGCAGAATGACATGGAGAGTGTATAAATCTGTAGGGGAAGGAAGGCGGGGTAGGAGTCGTCCTCAAAAAGGTTGGAGGGAGGGGGTAAAAGAGATTTTGTAGGCGAGGGGCTTGGACTTCCAGTAAGCATGCGTGAGCATGTTAGAGAGAAGTGAATGGAGATGAATGGTATTTGGGACCTGACGAGCTGTTAGAGTGTGAGCAGGGTAACATTTAGTGAAGGGATTCAGGGAAACCGGTTATTTTTATATAGCCGGACTTGAGTACTGGAAATGGGAAGTACAATGCCTGCACTTTAAAGGAGGGGTTTGGGATATTGGCAGTTTGGAGGGATATGTTGTGTATCTTTATACATATATGCTTTTAAACTGTTGTGTTCTGGGTAGCTCTGCAAAAACAGTGATTATGTATAAGTGAGGTGAAAGTGTTGAATGATGATGAAAGTATTTTCTTTTTGGGGATTTTCTTTCTTTTTGGGTCACCCTGCCTCCTGTATATATTACTAAATTTAAAAGGCGAAACTTTCGCTTTTCCTTTTGGGCCACCCCACCTCAGTGGGATACGGCTGGTACGTTGAAAGAAAAGAACAGTATCTTTACAAATCCTGAAAATCAACATTAACAAAATAAAGGCAAATAATAACTTTTAAATAAACTTACGAGGTAAGATCAATGAACTTATGGTCAATATAGAGATCTGATATACAGCCATGGAAGTGTTGATGTTTGACTTGGTAAGTGGTGGGAAGGGCTGGTAGTCCTCCAACTTGTAACGGCCCTGTTACATCTAAGAAGCGGTGGCAAGCCTGGGTCAGGATGGCACACCTAGGAATAGAAATTCAATATAGTAATAAGTTACATAAATAAATTGATACTTTTATTTTTAACTCAACAGCATCTCCTGCCAGGTACGGTGACCCAAAGAAAAAAACACATTCACCAATATTCACTCAATCACTATTTTTCCAGAAGTGTGCTGGCATCACAATCAGATTACCCTATAAGTGCATGTACATACAGTCCAAGCACTGTACTTCCCACCTCCAGAACTCAAGTCCAACTAACCAGTTTCCATGAATCCCTTCACAAAAGCTACCCTGCTCACATTCCAACATGTCTATTACCAATTACTTGTAAACATGCACCCCTCTCTAGCATACTCACATATGCCTGATATTTATATTATTGTATAAAATATAAAAGATTGGTTTTCAGAGTTCTATTCTTGCAACCTGATCAGAGACCAGACCTTCCTGCTGTCCACCTGATTAAACAGCTGTTTCTCTGGTCCACAGACTTACACAGTCACTGCAGCCTGGTTGATCAGTTGCTTCCTATAGAACTCTTACCTTTATTCAGTAGCTGTGCCAGAGGGGAGGCAAGGGGGAGCTGAAGCCCCCATAATCTTCATGAGCCCCCCCAAGACCTCCTAAATAAAAATAATAACATTGCAGCTTCAAGACAAGTCCTCAGTCCTCTAACCCCCTTTCCATCCAAATTGCCATCCCTAAGCTCCTCCCCTATATAGAAATTCTGGATCCCCTCCCCCCTGCCTTTGTTCCCACAATATTAACTGGTACAGTATCTTACTCTTCTCTTCAAAGGAGACTACACTGCAAAGGATTAGAGGTGTTCCCAGTAGTTAAGGTGTTTCATCGATTCCAGCACATTTATGAACCCACCACTCACCTGGGGTCAAGAATCTGAGATGTGGTATTGGCACAGTAGTAGTCACCAATCTTGTCACCAAACCTGACAGACAGAGCTGTGTCACAGTTGTCTACACTAATGGTCGCACTCTGAAGATAAAAATTGAAAATAATAGCTTAATACATTTAAAAATATTTTAATTTCAGTATTTTGCTTACTGACTCGGCAATTAATAAACTAAGTGAATCTGACTACCTTAAAGACATATAATATAAACAATAGCTAATATACCTGTACTATGTAGCTTACAAACTAATAACACTAAACATACTGCAAATGTCAGACAAATTACAAAATAATGTTAAAATTTAAAGACAGATTGAGTATAGTGGTACCAGTACTCATGTATGGGTGTGAGGCATGAATTTTGAACACTGCTGCAAGGAGGAAGTTAAAGGCAGATGAGATGTTATGTTTTACAGTGATGTGTGGTGTGAATATCAAGCAGAGAATTCATAGTGTAGAAATTAAAAGGTGATGTGGGCTTACCAAGGGTATAATTCAAAGGGCTGAGGAGAGATTGTTGAGGCATTTTGGATATGTAGAGAAGATAAAGAGGGATATGATGATAAAGAGGGTATACAAGTCTGGGGAGGAAGGTAGAAGGGGTGGATTATCCTAGGAATGGTTAGATGGTAGTAAAGGAAGCTTTGAGTTATAGAAGGTTGAGCATCCAGCAGGCTTGTTTGTGCACATAAGATAGGAGTGAACAGACATGTGGTTTTTAACCCTTTGGGGGTCGGCAGGTCCTCTCAGAGACTTGTTCTCAGGGTCGGCCAAATTTAAAAAAAAAAAATATTATTTTTTCTTATGAAAAGATAGAGAATCTTTTCCCGATCATAATGACACCAAAAGTATGAAATTTGATGGAAACTTACGGAAATATGCTCTCGCGAAGTTAACGGTCTTGACGATATTTACGCATCGGCGATTTTGCCCACTTTGAGCCCTATTTTCAGCCAATTCCAGTGTACTAGTCGACAAAAATCATAACTATTTCGCTAGAACTCCATTTTTTTCTATCGAATGAGTACAAGAAATGACCCATTTACCGATTTCAACTATCCAACACAGTGGTCAGAATTTAGCAATTTTGCCAATTTCACACAAATTTCAAAAGATGCCAATTTCCGAATAAAGTCCAGAATAAACAGGAAAGACATTCCTGGCACTAAAATAACATTTCCTCTGTTCATTAGTCATGTTCCCATGCCCCTCTTACATTCTTTTGCTTTCCACTTTGAATTTTTATTCTCACAAAAAAATAGATTTACTGTTATGCAGACTACTGCATTAGTGTAGAAATGGTATAAATAATATTGGCGCACTTGTGAAAGAATATTAGACTCACCAGTTGATGAGTATTGGAATCTTGGCATGATTTGTTTACTTTTGATCTTTGGTAAAAATCGAACATTTCTGCTACTTTGAGCTCAATTTCAAGGTACTTTTCATTGTAAAATCAGTCAAAATCATCTCAATTTCTGTATTATGTCTTCCATTCTATAAAATGAGACCAGGAAAACTAGAATACAACAATAAATACCATATGAAAATACAGTGCAAAGTCGCTGTTTTAATCCAAAAACACGATCAAAGTTTTTTTTTTCTCATTACGCACTGTGTGCTGCAGGATTTTTTTTATACTGCACACACTGACCACATAGACCCATTCTTTCATATGTAGGCCTACCAGCTTTCTCTCACTAGATTTGACGGCGCTAGAATTTATGCGTACTAGTACGTCAAAAACCCCTGCGCGTAAGCCGTACTAGTACGGCCGAAACCCCGAAAGGATTAATGAATGTGCTGTTAGTGTGTGAGCAAGGTGATATTTATGTAGGGAATCAAGGAAACTGATTAGCCAAATTCAGTCCCGGAAGTGAGAAGGGTAGTGCCTACACTGAAGGAGAGGGTGAGTATGTTGTGATGTCAGTACACATCTGGCAAGACAGCAGTTGAATAAATGATAATAAATGTGTTTCCTTCTCTGGTTCATCCTGCCTTGATGGGAGACAACCTGGAGGTAAAATGCTAAGAATAAATATGCTGTAATATTGTTATTAATGAGAAAGCTGATACTAACTCTGTTGTAATAGTCTACAGAGACAGTGTGCCACTCTCCATCATCAACACCTCCAGGGAGAGAGGCAGAGACTCTTGTGGTGGTAGTTCCCAGGCTAAACGAGAACACCACAGTCCCACTCACTATTTCCAGTGAAACAAAGTCATGCTTCTCATTGTAGCGTCCATTGTACAGGAGGAGTCCATCTGGCTCACGGGTGGCAAAGCTGTGAAAGATGTATTCATTAGCACTATTAAAACAGCATACTACATAAAATTCATTCATAGAATTCAGCATAAACCTCTGTAAATTTTTGGTCACTGAATGGCATCAAACACCTACAGCACATCACAAAGTACAATAATATAAATTATTTGCTAGTCCTTCATTTTTGCTTAAGATTTAATTAAAAAATGAAACTGATTCATCACTGTACTTACCTGATCTTAATGTTGAGTCTGTGTCGCTGCTTAAGTGCTGGGAAGGTGAGGAAGGAGCCGCTGGAGAAGCGACGTGATCTCAGCTCACAGGTTGAGGTGTGGTAGAGAGAACGACTGCAGTTGGTGCACGTGAATCCCCCAGCACCACCTCCATTACCAACCACACCTGTACACTTGCTGCCATGCATACACACTCCCTCTAAACATGACCCGCTTAGCATGTTAACTTCACAGTTTTTACCTGTGGGAAGTAAAAGCAGGTTAAGTGTGGCTGCAAGTCGTTCATAATCCATAATAATATAATCATCTTGACAGATTTAGTAAAGTGTTAATATTTCCACGATCATTTGCTCAGAATGATCAACCATCCAGAAAGTTTGAAGAAAATTAGTACAAGTTGTCTGGAAAATAATTAATTGCTTATACTTTCTGATCTCCTTCACACAACTACTGTACCCTAAATCTTCACTACTGCAATATGTATTGTGGAAATAAAAAACAACTTCTTTTTCTTTTAAAATACTGACCATCTCCCACCAAGGTAGGGTGACCTGAAAAAAGAAGAAACACTTCACTATCATTCACTCTTATCACTGTCTTGCCAGAGGTGCACTGATACTTTAGTCCAGATGCCCCTCCAAACTGCAAATATTACCACTCCTCCTTCAAAGTGCAGGCACTATATTTCCTACCTCCAGGATTCAAGCCTGGCTAACCAGTTTTTTCCTGAATCCCTTCACAAAATGTTACCTTGCTCACACTCCAACAGCTCGTCAAGTCCCAAAAACCATTTATATCCTCTCATTCAATTACTATCTTAAAGAAGGCTGTGAAGTCAGCCCTCCAAACTGCAATCCCTACCCCTTCTTCCGAGCACAAGTTTCCCTGAATCCTTTCTTTAGTGTAACCTTGCGTCAAATCATAAAAACTAGTCATCTTCATCCACTCCAATCTAACGCACTCACACAAGCATGTTGGATGTCCAAGCCTCTTGCACTCAAAACCTCCTTTACCCACCTCCCTTCAATGTTTCTTGGCATGATCCTAACCTTTCCTCTCCTCCACCCCAGATGGATACATCCTCCTAGTCACCCTATTTTACTCCATCCTCTCTAAATGTACAAACCACAAGAATCTCTCCTCAGCACTTAGAATAACATTTAAAGTAATCTCACAACTCATCTTCAAGCTCCAAATTCCCTGCATATTTACACACCACACATAGCCCTCAAATACACTAACGTTTAAGACCAATACTTCATGCCCATACAAGTGTTGGTATCACTATGCTCTGGTACATTTTCCTTCATTACCATCATGAATAAAGATTTTTGTCACCTCAGATGCCTTAATACACCACCCACATTTCTCCCTTTTGATACTTCTATAGTTTACCTCATTCTTCCATAGACCCATTTTTTATATATGTGGTACTGTATTTTCTTATGTTTTGTATACTTATACTGTATCATGATGTTCCTACAAATAGTGTATATTAATCAGCTGTCCTGAATTATCAATAATCTGAATATCGTAACTCTTCCAAATTACTGATGCTCAGCTATATTCATGTACTGTGTCTAATATAGTACAGTGGACCCCCGCATAATGATCACCTCCCAATGCGACCAATTATGTAAGTGTATTTATGTAAGTGCGTTTGTAAGTGTATGTTTGGGGGTCTGAAATGGACTAATCTACTTCACAATATTCCTTATGGGAACAAATTCAGTCAGTACTGGCACCTGAACATACTTCTGGAATGAAAAAATATCGTTAACCGGGGGTCCACTGTACTTCTTAAATGACTTGTTATTAAGACATGTTTTTACTCCTGAAGTCTGCAAGACCTAGTAACTGTAACTAGGCTACAACTGTAATAAATTTGGTAAATAAGTTGTTGCTGTTAGTTAAAACTTGGTTACACTGACTTACCAGTGTATCCAGGAAGACAGACACAGGTATAGCCACCCTCACGTCGCATACAGGTGCCATGGTTGCCACAGGGGCTACTGTAGCATAGATTGACCTCAGTGTCACACTCATAGTGCTCACGCATCCCAGTGAATCCCTGCCAACACATGTACTGTCAGTCAGTATGTGTTGTGTCACAGACAAGGCATGGTTAAACACTATAAAAAATCTTAAGGATTAGTTTCAAAGGGAAACATTATATATTTCTATATTGCAATTTGTTTAAAGCACCATATATATATATATATATTAACTAAGACACATGGGGTTCAGAATAAATATCAAGATTTAAATACTAGAAAATCAAGATATGGGGAAATTTATCCCATAAAACCCTGAAGAATGTGTGTTAATCATTTCCTAGCTAGCTTTCTTATTGTGCATATAATTATAGTAATTAACTACTGAAGAAATTTTCCTTAAGAAATCATTGAATCTGTTTGAAATAATAAGTCAAACTTTTAAAAATTGTACTACTGTTCACTGAGCTACCTTTCTCATTGTACATATAATAGTAGTTAACTGTATAAAAAATCCAACTTAATAAACCATGTCTAATTCTAAAATAGTCTTCAAGCATTATGATTAGTTTGCCTGAAATGCAGTGCATACTAGAGGCTTTCTTTTGTGACTAACAATGTTTTATCACATGTAAACTACATTATCCTTGTACAGCATAAAAAGAAATAAAAATTTAAATTTGAACTTGAAAGAACAAGGCATGGCTTATTTTGTGATTTTTTTTTAGAGGGGGGTCACCATATTTTAATGATGAGCACTGAAGGTGCATATCCTACCTTTTATTCCTACTTGGAAGCATCAGTCATGATATATGTCTCAACAAGTGAACATGATATATCAATATATCACCACCCTGCCTCGGTGAGAGATGGCTAGTGTTCAAAAAAAAAAAAACACATGTACATATATCAATAAGTTACCACCTTAGGGCATCTGATATGATGATGTTGTGAAGGATTCTTCAATGAATTAACTGGAGTCACCTATCCTTTCCTTAGGTCAAACCTAATTACCTACCACTCCCTAGACACTGTATGATCTCTAGAGGCTTAGTGCTTCCTTAAAATTATATTAATAATACTTGTGGTACTGGTGGTCATACCTTAGGGCACCTGCAAGCAAAAGTGTTGACGGGGTAGATGGGTCGGAAGAGTATGCTGTTGGAGGATATGAAGCCAGAAGCATTACCAAACTTGAGAACATTGAGGCACTCCTCAAAGTTGAGGCAGGGCTCTCGTACACACAGTGTGTCGTCAAATGGCAACACCTGCAACAAAAATCATAAAGATAAGTTGCCTATAAACATTGCTGCACCTACCACAAATTATCTTACAAGATATGCTGACTACATTATATGTCAACTGCTGTTTTATGGCAAACTAAACTAAAATGATAATACACAAAAACAGATTCACACTAAATAAAATGAGTGCAGTACTCTATGACATTATATTCATAACAGTGCATGATAAACTGGCATTATAATACAGCATTGCTATTTTGTAAAAGAATATACAGTAGACCATTGTTTAACATGATTTTGTCGTGCACGTTTTTGTTATAGCACGACTGAAGAATTGCAGCATATTTTTGTTTAACACTTCGTAAAATTAGTTTAACACGTTTGCGTGAGGGGAAAAAATTTTGAGTGCGCGGTTGCATGCCGGGCAAGATGGTCTGTGGGTTAATGGGTTACACCATTGTGTCAATGGGGAAGACCTATCTGCATCCCCCGCCTCCCTAAGCCACCCACACCACCCTCATCATCAAGTGTTTAATGTTGACGAGACAAGAGTTCTTGGAAAAAATGCCGACACGAACCTATATCAGTCAGCAAAAAAAAAAGTGCACCGGGCTCCAAGACAGCAAAGGATCACTTCACCTTGCTCCTTTGCAGTAATGCGGCAGGTGATTTCAAGTGTAAGCCCATGGTTATTTACTGCTCTAAGAATCCTCGTGCTTTGAAAGGTGTAGATAAAAACACCTTATCAGTAATTTGGAGGTCAAACCAGTCACATGACAGAGGAAATATTTATTGCCTGGTTTAAACATCACTTTATTCCTGAAGTCAAGTTTTACCTGCACAGCAAGAACCTCGTATTCAAGGCACTCTTCATTCTTGATAATTTCCGTACTCATCCACAAGCTTTGCTGGACGTGACCCCACAAATACAGCATCTCTAATACAACCACTGGATCAGGGAGCTATTAAGTCATTCAAGTGTAACTACACAAAAAAGTTATGAAAAAACTAGTTGCATCAATGGACTCTGACTCCAGCCTGGCAGTACCAAGCCTCTAGAATAAATTTAACATTGCAGATGCCATCAGCTATGCTAGGAGTGCATGGAATGAAGTGCCCCAATCAACATTAAATGCAGGCTGGGGAAAGTTATGGCCTTTTGTAGTTAATTCTTTCACTGGTTTTCCCTTGCTTGAGAGTCAGGTTCAGGAAATTGTTCAGCTGGCAAGGAGATTACCAGGTGATGGTTTTGAAGATATGAATGAAGAAAATGTGAATGAGCTCTTAGAAGATGATGTCATAAAGACGGGAGTCCAGAGGAAATGTTGGCAGAGCTCGATGCACATATACAAGGGAGGGAGATAACAGATGATGAAGAACCTGAAGAAAAACAGTTAACATCGCAGCAGTTACGTGAGCAGTTCCATGTTGCTGCTAAACTAACAGACTTTTTCACTGAAGAAGACCCTGACAAATCTAGAAGCAGTGCTTTGAAATGAGGTCTAGACAAGCTGATGATGCCTTACCATCAGCTGTATAATGTACTGCAGGGTAAAAGAGCCCAGAAATCCATTAAAGAATTTATGCACACTCCAATACAACCATCAACTTCAGTACCAGAACCTCTACTATCCACTTCTGCCAACAACCATCCACCTCAGCCCAGTAGGGCCACACCATCCATATCCACTCTCTTCACAATCATCCACAAACACCATTACCCATAACTTAAGGTAAGAAATGCTATTATTTCTATTGCATTTGTAGTCTTAAGCAGTAATATATCACAACAATACACTACAATTACATAGTCACTTTTATTTTGAAAGATCTGGTGCTCTAAAAAAAAGTGGTTTGGCTTTTTGGGGGCTCACAGGAACGTCACCCTATTTTTCCCATAAGTTCTTCAGTTTGTCTAACACGGTTTTGTCTAATATGGCATTTTCAGGACCGTAACTACCGAGTTAAACGACGGTCTGCTGTATGTATTTACTTGAATAGAATTTCTAACGTTTAAGTGTACAACTCATAAACTCATACAGCTGGGTCTAAGAAATGATTCTGTAAATATCTGCTATAAACAAATATAAAGGGAGATGATGGAATAATTTTATTTGCTCATCATTTCTATTCATGTACAAAACATCCTAAATGTGCATGACAACTTTTACAATAAATTCTTTCCAGGGAAATAATAATAGGCATTTCAAGTATGTACTGTATATACAGTAGTACTAGCTATCTACTGCATGTGTTTCTGGAGGTGTAAAGATATGCTTTATTCAGGAAATATACAAATGATTTTACAGACAGAAGTGTATAGTATTGTGCAATGGTTCTGAAGACTGAGATGGAGGTCAAGCTCATTGCAGGCTGGAAGGTAAGATCTGCTATCCTGGATAATGGAGATACAAAATTTAAATATGGCTGAATGTTTACAAATCTCGTAAGATGTATTTTCAATACATCATTTTAAGCATTTGAACTTGCTGGTGTGGAATTTGTAGTGTACAGAAAATGAAGGTGGATATACTGGGATCTGGATGATGAGTGTGTAGGCCAAAGATAAATAAAATTTGATGGAGGAAGAGGAAAAAAAAGTTATTTTTGGAAAATGAGTTGAAGACACATTAAGGATAAATGAGTTTCTTTGGAGATTTGGGCTCTGATTCCACCATTTTAAGTAGGGCTGGATACAATGATTTATGTGAATGTTTTGACAGAAGAGGCTAGAGCATGCAAGGATTAAGCAGCTTAAAGTGAAGAACAATCTGAATATTAATAAGTGATGAAACTGACTTGGACAGTAGAGAGTTTGACAAGGTCAGCACGGTGGAGGTAGACCCGTTCCCTCAGGTACTGGGGAGGGTAGAACTCCTCTCCAGGAACATCAGGTCGTTTAGCAGAGAAGCTCACATTGAGGATACGAGCTTCCACGTCAGTGTCGTCCTGTGGTGTCATCACGCCAGTCACCAGCAGCAACAAGGAAGCAGGGAATAAAATTCAGTGGAGGGTACAAAGGAAAATATGAATAAAATAATACAACCATATAAGCTGCTAAACCTGTGATAACCAATCTGCCACCTATTCCTTATATAGTAGTTAAATTACCCATTACAGGGACTAGTTGGCAGAGTGGCTATCACACTGTTATAAAAACCCAGTCTCCCTGGCAAAAGATATGCCATAAAAATAAGAGACAATTGTAATTTGTTTTACAGTAAAGAAAGATCTCTGAGCCAAATTAATTCACACCTTAATGGTCTGTGTTTAAAGAACTTCAATGCATTTAATGAACTTTGCTGACAGGGTAGAGAAACAGACATTCTTTGCATTATTAACCCAGCATAACCCAAGAAAACCAGGCAGTGTGGCTTTGCCATTGAGGTTCTCAGGTCCTGCCCTAAGACCGAATAAGTAAATCTTTACTAAGATTTTAGCTGTGATACATAACACACACACAACAGTCTTGAAGTCACATGCATAGTGGCAATATGTATTTACTTGTGGATATTGTTGAAGGATGCTCCTCTGGAAATCAGACATTATTGTATATTTTATAATGTATGCAAGTTATTTACACACTCCTTCAGGATACTGCAGTTTGCTTAAAGGCTGGACACATGGAATAAACAATTAATGTATTTCTTGGGTAAATTGTTATTTTGGGGGATAATAGTGAAAATAATAATTTCTTTTTGGCAAGAGCCAATCAACGCTCAGAGCTGCGGCCCTGGACAATCACACCAAATATAAATAAAGATGCACCAGATATTAAGAAACACTGATTGCAGAGTAAGGTTAAGGTTTAAAAAAAAAGACACACGAGCAAGCACTAGTACATACATAATTATTAGAAACTGTTTTGGTCCTGTGTCCTTGGAGTGATTAAAGTCCCATCATTGAAACATTTTTTAATAAATATGTCCTAGTGTTCCTTCATGTATCTTTCTAAATCATTTGTCAGTAACCATTACCTGGGTTTATACCAGAGTAAGGTTAAGTTATATTATGCTAATTTATATTAGGTGGGCTTTATTAGTTTTGGTTGTATACATTACCTAATAATATCTCTAGTGTAAAACTCAGTCAGTATCACTCAATTTAAACTAAATTTTAGAACTCATCTGCTATGTGTTTAAGCCTCACTCTCAATAATTTATTTCCATTGAGGTACAAGATTTATATTTACAATACACAAAACCATCAAGTAGATGAATAAGACAACTGTGCAACACATAGCTTTATCAGTCCAAACCATACCACAGGCAGGGATTGAACTTGTGGTGAGTGAGTTGTAAAACTCCAGATCAGTGCATAGGCCTTGCAAGATATGAAGTAGTAGTTTGAGGTGATCAGTCCTTCAGTCTTGAAAGAAGGTGTATTAAGTCCATCAGTTCTGAAGAATCTGAAGTAGATGCCAGAGGACGGAAACGTATGTACTGGAAACAGGTGAGGTGAAGCAGCTTAGAGACAGTGTCACAGGTGGGTGGAGATCATTAATGGAAGTTGGTCATGCCATAAGACTAGGCAAGTATTAGAGCTTTAGAAGAATTCTTGGAATCTTAGTAGAGAAAATTTTTCTACAACTCTTAACACTTGCCTAACCTTTTGTCAGGACCAACATCCACTAGTGGTCTCCACCCACCTGTGACACAGTCTCTAAACAGTTCACCTCACCTATCTCCAATACATATGCAAGTTTCCGCCCTTTTAGCATCTACTTTAGATTCTTCAGAATCAATGTACCTTTCAAAGCCAAGGGACTGATCGCCTGAAACACTACTTCCCATCTTCCAACGTCTCCAACAGATTCATCAAGGCTAAGATTTTGATTGGATTTTTAACCCTAGAATGTAAGCCACCCAGGATAACCCAAGAAAGTCAGTGCATCATCGAGGGACTGTCTGTCTTATTTCCATTGCGATCCTTCAATCTTGTCCCCCAGGATGCCACCCACACCAGTCAACATACACCCAGGTACATGCTTGCTAGGTGAATGGGACAACAGGTGAAAGAAAACATACCTATGTTTCCATCCCTGTTGGAGATCAAACTATGGACACTGTGTGTTAAGTGAGAGCATTGCCTTTAGGGACTGATCATCCCAAATTACCTCTTCTTGTCTTCCAAGGCCTCCAGTTTTATTCTCTGTATTATACTGATAAAGTCACTGGCTGGTAAAAATGATCCACAATAAGGATATTCAAAGGTTGCACATGTGTCTTATCCATGTATGAGCTGCTCTGTCAGCCAGACATATACATACAGACAGACAGTCATTGAATAATACATTCAGACTGACACATTATGTCTTATCTCCCAAAATAAAAAGTAACAGGCAAGTGACAGACAGGTGCCTGTCAGACACCTATCTGCATGTGAATATAGCTGTTAGACTGACAGCTTGTCTGTCAGTGATGACGGATGACTGACAGTCTGCCAAACATTCATACAAACATACTGTACACAGTCTGTTTATCAGTCTACTTTAATAACTGTATTATACTCATGGTGTGGAGAGTAGTCAAAATATTACAGAGGTACATAATGGGTCCAGGAACTGTACCTCAACACTACAGAGGTACATAATGGGTCCAGGAACTGGGCCACAAAGTTTTGATAACTGAACAAATTACACTGGTAAAGAACTATTTACATGTATATATCTGGTTACAATTATAATGGGTTATTTATGCAGACATGAATTAGGTCACACAGAAAAAAAAAAAGTCATGGGTTATTTAGTGAACAAAGTCAGAATGGTTGGTAATATACCATTGTGGATAAAATACTTTTACATTTCTTGAACATTTCTGAGTTGTCTCTAAATTCATTAGTTACATCGCATTCCAGCAAATAATAACGTAAGGTGTGACAATTGTCTATCAGGCAAAGTTAACATTTAGTTTGGTCTACATCATCTGGTGGTGGTGATTTACCTGTCTATCAAAGACTGACAGACATACTGTCAGTCTGACAGGTAAACACATTGTATTTCTGTCCAATAAACTGGTAACAGTCGTGCAAATAGTCAGTATTCCAATATATAGGATGCAATTATGCTGGCTGAATTTGGAGCTACCTTCCCACATACGGTTTTTAGCACTTCTCCAAGAGATTAATAATAATGAACAACCCTTCCTGGTTTAGCAGCGTCACGTGAAAGAAAACAACCAACCTGAATGTTAAATATGAAGATGTTTTCTCTGGGACAGGGGATGATAGCAGCCAGACCGTCCACGAAGTAAGACAGGAGGGGAGACAGGAAGGCCTCCTGGGTCATCTCTGCCATACGAACTGTTACTGAGTTGAAGAGCATCGCCTCAGTCACCAGCCTCACCTGAAGACTCATCTCAGCAGTCACCTCATTCAATCCATCTGCAAAAAACACAAAGCAAACATTTTAATTAATGTTGATAATGGGAAGTAGAGTACCTGCACTCTGAAAGAATGGATAGGGATGGTGTATGTCTGAGTTCAGAGGGTCCTCTGAACTCTTATATCTCCTCACTTCTGATAAATAAGTTTATTTAGGCACAGGTACACATATTATTATTATTATAATAAAAAAGAAGCGCTAAGCCACAAGGGCTATACACAGGTACACATAAGCACAACTATCATGCATAGTGTAAATTACACAGGATAACCCCCCCCCCCAAAAAAAAAAAAAGTCAGACAACGTGACAGGTACTAGAAAGTAAATGATGCTTGAAGTGGACCATATTTGACATACTACTCTAGTTATCGCACACAATCCCATGGATTGTATAAACCAGAATGGCCGACACGGCAGGTTGTGTAGCGGGCTAGCTGCGGGATTTTCAAGGATAGCTCCTGGTCAAAGAGGCTGACCAGGTCCCTACTTAACAGAACTCAGTGTGAATGCTTTGAGAAGATACCAGAGCAGCGAACGGACATTCCAGTGCATCGTTTCAGCGTAAATAGTTGAAGTGTTGTGCAGTTTCAGAGGATTTGGTGTTGTCGAGTCAGGACCAGTCAGCGCCTCCCCCCCTCTCTGCTGGGGGGGAGGGGAGGGGGAGGGCGTGTGTAGTAAACAGTGACCCTCTCATAACGCCTCACCCCTGCGCGTCTCCCCCGCCTCACCCACCCAACTCCCAGAGCCACCCCATCTGTAGAGGGTACTTCTCCCCTAACCCACGATGTCAGCGATGGCACTGCAGGGAGTGCCGGGCTCACAGGAACTTCCACTACAGTGACAGCATCGTGGAGTTCGACCGCGAGGTAGCTGTCAGGTGTGCCACAGGCAGTGTGTACTCAGTTCCTCAAGCTTCAACATCCGTGCACACGAGGGCCTGGGATCTTCAATCAACTTGGCGTCCACCAGGACGCTGACATGTCCCTAGGGGAGCTCTCCATCGGGCTGCTAACGGAGTCACTGGCTTCTTGGACCTCTTGGGGAGGGTCGATGGTGCTTGTGCAAGCAGCAGATCCCGGGGCAACTTGCTGCTGTTTGCAATGGCTGTCTACCGAGGAGAGACAGGCACCTAGCAACATCTGTTGTTGGGGCAATGGATGAATTCCCTGCTATGTTTGTTAACTGCTCATTACTCTGTAATTTGTCTATGATTGTAATCATGTGATAATGTGTTTATCATTCATTACCTTTGAAACTTGTCATGATTTTGACCAGCTCTACCTGGAGCTCATTACCTTTGTAACTTGGTCATGATTATGACCAGATCTAGTTCATTACCTTTGTAACTTGCTCAGCTATCAAAACTTTGGAGTCCAGTCCCTGGACCAATTATGTACCTCTGTAATCTTTTGACTACCGCCCACAGGATGGGTATGGGGTGCATAATAAACATATTAAACTAACTATATAAAACTGATCGGAGGGCATTTGCACATACCAATATTTGCACGAATTTTTAAGGAATTACAGTGTGGAAATTTATTTACTTACTACTGTGCAATCTACATCTACAGGACCTTAAACTCCAATATCAACCTTGACCTAAAACGCTTTCTTGATAGTTGTGACAGAACCCACAGGCATAACACCAGACACAAACATCTCTACGACATTCCCCGTGTCAGACTAAACCTTTACAAAAATTCAATGTATGTCAAAGGCCCTAAAATCTGGAATACCCTACCTGAGAACTCTAGAACTGCAGACACATTCTTCACCTTCAAAACTACCATTAGAAAACATCTTATCTCCCTGATACACCCCATCAACTAACTACACGAATACCACCTGGTGGTTCACACTTACACTCACTCACCAATTTGACCATAAACAGAAATATTAATCTCAATCTTAAAATAATGAATCCTATGATACTCCAATACTGAAACTATGTACTGTGCCAAAACAAAAGCATTCACATTGCTAAACTCACAAACTAGTATTTAGTCACTTAGCCATAATACCAACTTACCTCATAATTTGTAATATTTTCAAATAAAGAATTAAACTAAGTCTGCCCGAAATGCCTAGCCATGCTAGGCGTTCTAGTGGTACACTCTGTAATCATTATTTAACTACATGTAAACCACACAACAACCAAATTCTGTAAATTCAACATTGTAATCTTTATAGAGAATAAACTTTGAATTAAAGTTCCACAGGACAGACACGGCGAACCAAGGGATCCCAGCAAGGCCGTAATGGAACAGCTGAGCTGGGTGGCCCTTAAACCCACCCAAACAAAAAGCGTTCTCCCCGAACATAACCACATTTCTCTCCCCGAGTTGGCGTGGATGAAGGTACTATTTAAGTTACAGATTTACCCTTCAGGGAAGGAGTAGGTAGTTTTACTGGTAGTACACTAATATTAGGATCATTGAGGCAACTGTAGATAATAATAATGTAAACCTAAGACCTTAACATAGGTAGTAATAGGCCGATAATGTAGGCAAACACTAGGTTAAGTTAGCTAGGGAGAACTGGCAGCCCTAGCTTGAACGACGAGGCACGGGTCTCAAAGACACAATAGCGTCCTTAAGACAGACACCAACTGGACAAGATGTGCTGTGATCAGCAGACGGCGCCCCACACATGTCTTCACATTTGAGACCTGGGGAAATCTGGTAGAGGCACCTCGATGTACTGTAGATGACCTCCGTCAGGCCCATACAGTAAGACAAGACCTCCACTTTAATTCGTAGATTTCTGGCCAGTGTCTGGTGAGAACTGTGAGTGAGTTCGATCTGTGGGCCTGTGTTGCAGCTGGCAGAGCATGCCCAGTAAGTACCAGTGTCTCTCGTAAGTCTGGAAGCTAGTGTCCGTGTCTGCATAGTTATACTAGGGGATACATACCCTCTTGGATATAGGAATTTCTGAGGTGCAGGCAGGTCACTAATAACGATTGAATATTGCAGGAATTAAGGCTCCCGGTTGCACGTGGTTTCTGAGGGGAAGTCCAGAGGGGCTAAGGCTAAGCTTAGGGAAGTTGAAGATCAGGATATATGCTGCAACACCAAGTAAGTTAGTCCTTCATACGTGCATGCAGGCGAGTTTCTTGCAACATCAATCATTTGTGAAAATCTGTCCTATAAGCCACTTGTGAGGCTGAGGTACCCACCTCAGAGCTCGGTGTCAACAGAGTTTGCCAGGGTAGGCGACTCACTTGGAGGCAGTCCACACAAATTTTCACATACAGCAAACAAGTGGATCAGTGTTCTAGTGTGATAAACACAAAGCTTGGAGGAAGAAAATGATTCTTTCAACCATTTACAGCAACTCCTGAGAAGTAGCGGGGGGGGGGGGAGGGGTACCTAAAACAATATGTAGACAAAATCAGTCCAAGTATATAGAAATAACTTTGTAGCCATATTTACTTTATTAGAACCTATGTATGTTGAAAAGTTTTATTTATTGAAAGAACAGTTGAATGAAAGGTCACTGGGACACCACTGGTCAGTAGTGTAGGTGGACACCACTGGTCAGTAGTGTAGGTGAACACCACTGGTCAGTAGTGTAGGTGGACACTACTGGTCAGTAGTGTAGGTGGACACTACAGGTCAGTAGTGTAGGTGGACACTACTGGTCAGTAGTGGTGGACACTACTGGTCAGTAGTGTAGGTGGACACTGCTGGTCAGTAGTGTAGGTGAACACTACTGGTTAGCAGTGTAGGTGAACACTACTGGTTAGTAGTGTTGGTGAACACTACTGGTTAGTAGTGTAGGTGAACACTACTGGTCAGTAGTGTAGGTGAACACCACTGGTCAGTAGTGTAGGTGGACACCATTGGTCAGTAGTGTAGGTGGACACCTGGAAAATCCTGGAGGGACTGGTCCTAAACCTGAACACTGAAATCACTCCTTATGATAACAAGATATTTGGCAGACGGTTCAAAATACCTCCATTTACAAGCAGGGGCGCGACAAGTACACTTAGACATCGATGAGTGTCAGAGATCCCCGACTCTTCAACGCCCTTCCTCCGTACATAAGGAGAATTGCCAACAAACCTTCAGCAGTCTTCAAGAGGGAACTTGATAAGTCCCTCAAATTAGTTCCTGACCAGCTGTGGTTCGTACGTTGAACTTGGGACATCCAATAGTAATAGCCTAGTTGATTAGACTTTGATCCACCGGGAGGCCTGATGGATCGTTGACCCCGAAAACATCTATCAGGTATTTTTCAGATATTAGAAATAGGTTAGACAGAGTCCTGAGTGGTAATGGTTGGTCGGTAGAGCTAAATACGTTTAGGCGAGTGCAACATAGGGTAAGGCCCGTTAGTACGCTCTACTCCTGTGTTTTAACAGCAAGAAAATGAAATGCTAATAAAGCAAGAATAAAGAACTTATTAAAGCAAATAAGATGCACAGCAAGGGGTGGAGGAAGAGAAGACAGTAACACAGAGCAGCAAGCCACGCCATTACATCCATTTTTTCCCCCATAAACAAAGGTATTATCACGCCCGCTGTTTGTCTTCAGTATTTGTCTTCAGTGTTTGCCCGGCCATCACACCTGCTTTCCCCTCCCACCGACCCACCACTCCATTCCATCCATCCAATATTTGCACTACCTGGCCACCCAAGACTGATCCTCGTACCCGTAGTGCTGTCTCCATCATCCACCCACTCACAACCACCCCTGTGTACTACCCATACCCACACAACTACCCCTGTGTACTACCCATACCCACACAACCACCCCTGTGTACTACCCATACCCACACAACACCCCTGTGTACTACCCATACCCACACAACTACCCCTGTGTACTACCCATACCCACACAACCACCCCTGTGTACTACCCATACCCACACAACTACCCCTGTGTACTACCCATACCCACACAACCACCCCTGTGTACTACCCATACCCACACAACACCCCTGTGTACTACCCATACCCACACAACACCCCTGTGTACTACCCATACCCACACAAC